AAGCGACCTTCCTTTGACCTCAAAACTGAAACTGCCACTGCATGACTTGAATACCCCCATTCATGCAGCTTTGTCTGGGGGTGTTTTATGCTGAATATATGAGGACATAATTATATGCTTCAAGTGTGAAAATGTCAAAATCAATAACACTTTAGACAGGCAACCTTGACCTTGACCTTCGACCAAGTGACCTCAAAATCAATAAGGGTCATCTACTCATCATGACTTACCTCCATGCCAAATATGAAGAATGTGGGTCAACGGAATCTTAAGTTATTGGGCGGACAAGGAAAAACCGACGGACGGACGGACGGATCATCTACTCATCATGACTAAACTCCATGCAAATATGAAGACTGTGGGTCAAAGTAATTGGGCAGACAAGCTTTTTTCAGTCAAGGCCCCTGTGACCTGGACCTTTGACCCAGTGATCTAAAAATCAATAGGGGTCATCTACTCATCATGACTAACCTCCATGTCAAATATGAAAACTGTGGGTCAAAGGAATCTTAAGTTATTGGGCAGACAAGCTTTTTCAGCTTAAGGCCCCTGTGACCTTGACCTTCGACCCAGTGACCTCAAAATCAATAGGGGTCATCTAAGCTCCATGCCAAATATGAAGAATGTGGGTCAAAGGAATCTTAAGTTATTGGGCGGACAAGGAAAAACTGACGGACGGCCAGACAGCCAGACGCCTGGACGGACAAACTGATTCAAGTATACCCCCCTTACAACTTCGTTGTGCGGGTGTATAATAAGTAAAAAGAAAGACTGTGAAGGAATGTTTGAATAGTTTACCAATTATTTTGATTGACATAAAAGGATGGTAATAATTAACCAAAGACAAATCTTGAATAAACATGAAGATGATTTTAGTATATATGAATGACTAGTTTTCATGATTATACAACAGATAATGTAAAGTATTACTAAGTGATAGGTGTGAGTTAAGTAAATCTAACAATTTTAAGAATCATTTTGTCAACATAATGGCCAAAGTTATACTGTATGTCAAACTCTTACTACACACGAGCATGAATTGGTCAGTAAAATTATATACAATATTAGATGTGATATCTGGATAAAAAGGGTCAAAATGTTTACCACCATCAATTCTAGCCAACAAATCTCAGGTTTGTTATAAATCTTATTCTAGGTCAAAATTATGTTAAGGCATCTTGAGGTCTGTAAATAAGACAACATAACTCTATGAACAATTTTCATAAGTGAATTTTCAAAATATTTTCTAAGAAAATTAAAAACAGAATTAGCATATCTGTTAACAAAAGTGTTGCTAAACGGAAAACATTGAAAAGTAAGCAATTAACAACATTAGCCATTTATATTGCTAACTGAGATAATAAACTAAATAATATACATGAAAATGTATATAATTATCTATCAGACATTTTCACATAATAATGTACGTACTTCAGTATACATGTACCAGTATAATGATATCTTAACACTTTTATATATTTTTTCATTATCATAACATCACACTATAGTAAATTTCCGCAAATAGGGACAAGATTTCAATTATCTGATACCTGTTTTAACAAAATGTAGCGAACTATTAGCAATCCAATTAGCGTAATTAGACAATCAGGTGTGTTTTGATTAACAGTCAGTTTGGCAAACTATAACACTGCTGAGGAACCATGGCAACAGTTCTCTGTTAATGGAATAGGAAGACTGTAGTGCCAATCAAGGCATAGTTTGAGGCATGAGTGTATAAAAGATTAGAACCATCAACATTACTAAAACACTCTCACATGAAAGCAAGCAGTGGTAGTTAACCAAACAGTCGTAGTGATAAGAGGTTGCAAGTTAGCACATAGAATCTACCAGTAAATAGCTCTCTTGTGTAAAAATCATGTTATTCAAATCTATGACAGAATGATACAACCGATAAATAGAACAAACACATAAATCAGTTTGAAATTATTCATATTATGCGCTCACTTTGAGCAGTAATTAACATAAATACAGGTTATTCACCATCAATTATTGGCATAAGACAAGTTTTAATAACATACAATTAGTATCATACTATTTACACATACAACACAAAAAAAATGTTTGTTTCCAATTCTTCTCCAAATTACAGGGTGAAAGTAGTTGAGACTGATCATAAGGATTTTATGGACTTATTTTAGTCCAAATTTATTGTTTTAGAAAATTTGAAGAATTTCAAGATAGAAGTGCTAAAAAAAGAAATTGAAACTATCAACATTGAAGAATCGGGTAAAGAGGGTGTACAACACTGAAAGCTGTCACAGCTTTATACCAACGGACAGTTTGATAGTCCTTGTAGCTGAAGCTCAGAGATTTAAAAAAAAAAATTTCATTAGCAACTTATCAATTCTTCTAGTAATAAACTCAATCATTACTTTCATATCATAAATCAAACTTAGTAACTCATTTGGTTGGGTTTTATATCACACCAACACAGTATATATCATATGGTGACATTCCAGTTGTACTGGTGGAGGGAGACCTCAGGTGCCCTTCCTTGCATTATTCCAGACACAAACCTGTACAACCACTAAAAACTGAATATGACGCAAATTTAATGCTGAAACATTAATAATGCATTGCCATTTTTTAAAGTAATAGTAAGTAATGATTAATGCAATAGTTCTAGCATTATTTTAATGCTAATTTAATGCATTACATATCCCAAAATGCATTATCTGGATTTTGATTCAATAAACAAATTTATATTGATCATTGTATCTATATGCTGACTGATTTCACAGCTTGGTAAACTCTTATTTATATAGACTATGAGAGAATTCAATAAACATCAGTATGTTACACTGATGAAAGTGACATCATAATTTGCCAAGTTGTCAGTGAGGTCCTATGTTACAGTCAATACAACACTCTTAATGTGTGATCAATAGCAATAAATAAAAGATAACAAAATAAAGAGTATCAGCTTAGTGTCAACAAGACTTACTGTACCTGTAATGAACTACGTGTCACTTTAGGAAACATATATAGTTGTTACTTGATGAGAGTGTCTACAGGACTGATTATTCAAGACTTATTTCACAGTGTTTGATGAAAAAATTGATATTTTAGTTATCAAGTGCAACAATGATTTGTGCTATTAGAAGACTGTTAATTTATACTGACTGTATAAACTTGTGTTCTTTATGGAAAGCAAGATATTAACATGCAAATAAAATAATGCTTAATTCAATGCATTACTTTTTTTTCAAAATATATTGAATATAACAGACAAAGATTAGAAACAAACATTTTTCTTTCACATCAAGGATAGTTATAAATACATTAATAAAGAAAAACATAAATCCAGTATGTTTTAATATACAAAAACATGTTCACATTTCCTTCACCATCCTACCTAAACCACAAACATGTATGTATATTTATTGTCTTAAACTTGATATAAAAATAATTCAACAATAATCAAAAGTACAAAGAAGATTCTTCCTTTTTTCAACTAACTTCTGAAATCATTTTCAGTTTTAATATTGCACAACTTTTATTGAGGAAAGCATCAGGTATTTTATAAAATAATATGATTTTGAGATTTATTTTGTATATCATTTTGAGATTTTTAACTTGGTAAACAATTTCAAAAATATTTTCAGAAATTCTGAGAAATAATATCAAAACATCCAAGATTCTTAAATTAAATAGCTAAAAACACACGATAAAATGTGTGCTGCATGTATTATATTTACATAAGGACACCTTCAGAAGGCACCCAGTTATAGTTCAGCCATGTTTAATTTAAGAATAAATCATGATAACAAAAAAACATTTCTCTCCCCTCATACGAGGGTTGATCAATAAATTCGTGGACACACTCCATAAATTGTTTTTTTGGGGAAAGAAAGTTAATATAATTATATTTGACATTTATTCAATTATTTATCAATTTGATGTGTAAGTTTCAGATAAATATTCCATATATTTTATCCGGAATGACAGTTTTCAGAAATACATGTAAAGCTGATCGCCGCAGCTCATTTGCAACTTACGTTACGTCGTGACGTCGGCGTTACATCTTCTCAAAAACAATGCAGCACCAACTTCTACACATCGTTCATGCCTGTGTACCCACTGACTGAAAATGTTCTTATTAAATGAAGTATCAAATGAACGCAACACAGTCAATGCTATGGACTGCAAATCATGGAACCCGGTTAACTTGTGTCCCTTTAACTCTGCCCTCAATTTCACTCGCATAACGTTCGCATCGCAACAAGTTTTAATTGGTCTGCCGCATCTCTTATCATCCTGAAGTTCTTCTCTACCCTCACAGAAGTGTATGTGTCACTTATAAACTAAGGAATAAGACACTTTTTTTGTTCCAGATACAATTCCCATGTTTTCTTTAGTTTGTTTTGGCGTCATACCAAGATTTACACAGACCTTAATAACTGCCCTCTGCTCCAACAACGTCGTGCTCCTCTCTGGTGACACACCCCTGTCTCCATTAACATCTCGAAATAGTAGCGACGCTTGTTTTTTTAAATGTTCTATAAACGATATGAAGGAACGTTGCTGTCAATTTCATATTTTAAAGAAGCACGCCAAAATAAGGACAATTTTTAAGTATTTCAAAATGATAGATATAACTTGTTTTTGAGCTGCGGCGTTCGAACGGTATAGGGTTGCTATGGCGATACATATAATGAACAAAATGAGATTTGTTTTTAAAAAATCACAATATATTTAAATAGTATTAAATTCTTCTCCTAAATAGCAAAAAATCTTTATAATATCTTGATTAATTATTAAGTTATTAATAGTGTCCATGAATATATTGATCAACCCTCGTATTACACATGAGATCCATGGATATAAAATAAAAATGAAATTTCAGAACATACATACAAAAACCGTTCGCATCTGTCAGCAATTATAAGATCACAAGATTCGGGACGATTCGTCCCAGTTAGAACACATTAGTAGATTCATTATGTTGCCTCTAGCAACAACAAAAATGTTTTTTAAAATGGATGATTTTGTCAAGATTATAAGTCGGATTTAAAACAACCCGGCTTGTATTTCTGTTTCAACAGCATTAAAAAAATCAAAATGAGAGTCACTGTGTCTGTCTACCTTCAAAATGATTTATTATCATCCTATTTCAGAATACAGCCAACTCCTCTCGCGAGTGTCAATGAATAAAACAAAAAATAATAAAAAAAAATGTTGTCAATTATTATGTTGTTTTGTGAAATGATGAAAAATCAATCAAAGAATATGGTAATAATGATGATAAGTGATGACAATGAAAATGGTACTACAAGTCCAATACATACAACATAAAACAGTTGTTATTTAACCTGTTAGCATCAATGTCTGTTCAAAGTTTATTTAAAATGTAAGCAAAAACCTTATCAAATAAATTTTGGTGCAATGCTTATTATTCAAGTGCATGATGATGATGATAACGATGATGATAATGATGATGATAATACAATAGTTATTTTGATAATTACTGTAATAACACGAGCACCACATTCAATGTTTGCCTAGAATAAGAACAATCTATTTATAAGTTGTCAAAACTTTTTCAATATATAAATAACCAAAATTTACAAATATTCTACATTAAAAAAGGGGCATAACCCACAAACATAGCTTTCAGAATAATGCCCATTGTCTTAAAACTGTCCCTTATCTTGATAAGAAGGTTTAATGTTGATATCTTTCAAAATGTTTTTAGTAATAGGCAAAATTAAACAACGCATTGATCATAAATAGATTTTGCCATAACAGATGAGCTTATATCGAGCAACAGGACAGAAAAATAATATGTCAAACAATTACCTATGGGAACATATATAATAATAATTGTAATCAGTCAGTGCAAAGAAGTGAACTGAAAAATTATGAATGATCTTATTATTACATGACTGAATACACGATGTTAAGATATGTTGCTTCGAGAGAAATTTCTTGTATCAGTTCCCAATGATGATAATAATTGATGATTGATGATTATAATGATGATTATAGCACATAGTTGACATACTTCATCAGGACAATTCCTCTTTCTCGTAGTAGTCTGTTCCGAAATATCTATCACCGAAATTACCTGAAATCATTATATGACGCAATAAGAACAATTGAAACTCAATCATTTTTCCCAAAATTGATTCAATGTGTATTAGAAATCACATATGACATGTCATCAACCAAGTCATTATAGGGAAATACATATACCATGCCCAGGAATTTCAAGTACATAAATGTACAGTGAACATAAAACTGGCAACTTACTGATCTCATCTTACGAGAGTGAGAAATTACTTATAATAGCATTTAACTGCTAATTATCAAAATATACAGAGTAATATATCGATGCCTTGGTGCGAAAGGGTTGTAACTCAATATTTTGAAATTATTCAGGAGAGACAAAAAACTTATTTATTCTTTTACATTCTAATAAATTCTTCTTTAATTTTGCTTTTTGGCTTTAATTCAATTACTGATATATAATTGATTGGAAAGGTTATTTTATTTTGTCAGCATAAAGAGATAATTGATAAAGTTTCAGTTACAACCCTTTCGCACCAAAAAAATCAAAAATTTCAAAAAATGATTTGGTGCGAAAGGGTTGTAACTAAATTTTTGCTTTAAATTCTGATAAATGTAATGGGTCAAATGGACAGATCCAAGCTTAGTTGTGTTAAGTATGAACTAATTTAACATATTGCCTGGATATTTCAGTGAAAAACCTTCAAATTATATGTTTTTAAAATATAATTTCAGTCAAATGATTTTTTTAAAAGAAATTTACTTTATATATAATATTTTTTTCCATGTGACACACAGTTCAGATTGTCAAACCTATCATAAGTACCAAATACGCATTAACATGTATGTTTTTGCAAGAATCAAAGGTAAATTTTTCGCAATTCAAATTGTAAACTTACATAATGACAAAACCATCTAAGACACATTTATTTTTAACCATCTAAGACACATTTATTTTTGTTAATATAAGCCTTTAGAAAATGAGAATACTCTTATTTTATTTTCCATCTATTCTGTACATAGGCTTTTCTTAATTTGAAAATTTAGATAATTCCTAGGATGTGCTTTTGTGTACAAATTCTATATATTTAAGCATTATCCAGGTCCTGGATCTTCTTTCCTATTAAGCCAAAAGTATGAGAAAGATGATAAATATTATAGATGTTCTAAGCTTCTAAGCTCATGCTATTCTTACAACTCTTCACAGTCCAAAATTTCATTGTTTATAATTATATAAATCAGTCTAGCCTGAATCAGTCAGTAATTAAATGAGAAAAAAAATAAGGCCTGCAATTAATAACAATTACAAAATGCAATCCCCTGTGACCCAAATAATTTTCACAGGTGTGCACACAAACGCACATACAGCTGAGGAAGTGATTAATATCTTTATGAATGATTTTAAATAGCAGATAGAATATATCTGATAATTTACTTTTATCTAACAGAAAACAAAGGGTCAATAATATATTTTACTTAATATTTTAACATGACCCACATTTTTCCCTATTGAACATGGAAGAACCGAAAGTGTGCATTATTATGCAATAAAATCACTGTTTGACATTCTATATTAAGAAAAATTGTGACGTAGTCATTATATACGCAAAGTATTTACCACTAAAAATGTGACATGCTGAAAATGAGTATGAAAACAAATCAGGCGCAATTTAGATAAATATAAGGTACGGCAGCATTAAAATTTTATTTGTTGATGTCGTGTTAGAATCAAAATAATACATATGCAAATCCCTTGGAATCACTTGATAAATCACTGTTTGTTGAATGTGCATCATTATATCACTCGGGCTAGTCGCCCTCGTAATTCCACACATCCGACTCCAAACAGTGATTTTATTAAGCGATAAAATCACAGTTTGTGATATATTATTTCTTAAATAATAGACCTGTGTAACTTGTATTAAGCTAGACCTACATGTAGTCTGTTTATCTGTGTAATCCAACTATACATCATACTGTTGGCTTGCAGTTTAATGGAAAGTCTTTAAGTCTTTTTCTTTTGTCCAATCAGCAGATATTTGTGATACAATATTTATACAATTTGTCTTTGACAAGACATGAAAATATTCCAATAGTAATACATGTAAGTGATAAAAGTAATTCATGTAAGTTTAAAACCAAATCAAGAATTGGGTAATAATTGTATAATTTCTTTGAAGTTACTTTAACATTTAGTAATTAAAAAAGCATCGAAACACAAGGCTGTCGGATTTGTATGAGAGTATAAATCAGATTGCCGATTGTATTGATGTTCTTTCTCTTTTGTATCTCAGGCAAAAATGAAAACATATTCCCAGTCATCCAAGAAAAATGTACTAATTGTTTACTTTAAGCATCTGAATATGACTTTTCTATATTTATATAAGCCCGTGCTAGGGGGCGTGGACGGTAACTTGCACTTTCCAGTACCGTCCATGAACAGGCTCAATCAAACCGTACCCTGCAACATTTTCAATTTTGTTGTGTTGGACTTTCTTTAGGGATTCTGTTTTTCTCTATTTTCTACTGTCATTTCCTTCCCTGTCTCTTTCCCTGTCATCACAATATGTAATCAAAGCACAGAAGGCGCTGAATTTGTTTGGGTCTCAGAATGTCAGAAAGGTGAAGGTTGTGAGATTATAAACCAATTTGTTTTTGTATAGTGCCACCAATGATTTCCAGTGTTTTAACTGTAGTAAATTGGCTATAAGACTAATTGCAACACTAATAGTCAATTCAATGTTTATTTTTGACTTAAAAAATGAAAAACAAATGAGTTGCCTCAACTGGGATTTGAACTCCAGACCTCTCGATTCATAAGCGAGCGTGCAAACCCCACGGTGAAGTTATATGTTACCGGCCTGAAGAAAACCATATTATTCTAAATTAGGGTTTGTAACTCTTATTATTTCGACGCTAAACCTGTTGTTTAACACAGATGTAAATAATCATGGAGCTTACTGTAAGCATGTATATCTATAAAGAATGAAACAATATTAGAAATCTTCGACCATTCGGGAACTACTTTGCTTGAAAATTAATGCGCCTGTCATTTGACAATCTTTACGCATTGATCTCCCCTGAATTTTTCGGCGTTAGTGTACATATGAAGGGAAGTAATCGCTTCAAAAAAGTGGACTACTTTAGGCATTTGCAATTAACAGCATTAGGCTCTGAAATTTCGCTACCATTATTTGTTTGGTCTGACGACCCAAACAAATAAAAACCAGAAAAAATGAACCAGTTAACAAGCAAGCTCCAGACAGACAGTGAGTTAAAGCACTGTGCATGTATTGGTATGCAATTTAACTCTGACATGTTTTCAAAAGTCTCCAAACTATGATACAATCATAAAATATTAAATGACAATTGTTTATAATAAATTTATTTTGAGTTACAGTAATTTCATTTTCATAAAACCAAAATAGGTCCATTACTTTTTCATGTTATTTTGCAAACAATGCAACATTAAACCAATAACAATTTTTATGTTGAGGAAAAATCACTATAATAGTACTGTTAGTCAAATATAGCAATGTTCTATGATATTGTTTCTTTTACAAGCATTGGAATTGATGTATGTTTGAAATATGTGTAAGTTATTCAAATTCTTGTATTATATCTGAATGAAAGCTTAACAATTATGTAAATAACAAGGAATCAGAAGCTGAGACTGTTTTATAAACTTGTCAATTAGTTTGAAAGAAATAATCCACTAAATATTTCACAGAATATGATATAAGATATTGAGATACAACTGTTTTGCACTAGGATTTATTCAAAATATTATCAAAATGTTGGTGCGAAACGGTTGTAACTTAAGTTACAACCGTTTCGCACCAACAAAATATGTCTGTTTGAGTTACAACCTTTGGACAAATATACTTTTTTGGTAGTTTAAAATTAGCTTTCAAGTTTAATATTTTTACAACATGTGTGTATATTGCTCCTACATTGAAAAACACCATAAAACCATTTTCGGTGAAATTATGAGTTACAACCCTTTCGCACCAAGGCATCGATATAAAGAAACAGTTTATAAAAAAAACTCAAGGCCTGTATAAGTTCAGAAAACAAATAATTTCAAATGAAAACAAAGAAAGTATCTTTTAAAAATTTCAAATGAACACAAAGACCGTAACTCGTAACAAATTCAAATGAAAGCAAAGAACATCAAGATTCATAAACATACATGATTATAATAGCACATTGTTATATCTAAGAAGTTATTTACACATGTTGAGTGGAAACTTTATTACACTAAGTAAAACTAGAACTCCGCAAGTCAGATGTGTCGCCTTGTGAACAATATAATTTAGGAGAAATGGCCAGGACAAAAATGAAATGTACCGGCTCTTGTACCGGCACCGACAACAACGCCGCCGACAAAAGTAACCCCTATATGTCACAAAAATGTGAGATAAACATAGTTTTGAAGAAAGAAGATTCAGAGAATGTGCTCACCAATGCCTGGAACTATGTGGAACTTCTCATTCACCTCCTTATCAACTGCTGTAGTAACAAGCTTTACCTTCGGGAATGCATATGCTATAGAATGAACTCCTACAAAAACAACATAGACACAATTCAAGTATTTGCCTCAAAAATATACTTTAGACAAATCATAAATTCTTGAAAAGGCGAATTTGTGTAGTGAATTTATACTGCTAAGGAATTTTAATATCAAATGAATAAGATTAAAAAAGGGGACCATTAAGTATGGTAATACAATAAGACTTGAAGACTGGCCTGGCTCTATTAAGCTGACACAAGTCTGTTATTTCTGCTTCTAGGTTATAACACAGAAATGTAGACACAACCTAGGGGAGACAACTTGTATTTATTCAAATTCATGATCCGTCCAATATTAAAACTGAGAAAACAGTTTAAACATTTAGACTGCTAGCTTACTTTCAATGACACCAAAACAACAAGTGAAATGATTAAACATTATTTCCTTTAAACATAAAACATTTTGATATAAAAGAAACCTTTAACATCATTAATTAAATTTTGGGAAATTTCAAAATATGTAAAATTGCATAGCTAAAATTGCAGACCACAGATGAAAAGCCCAATTTTGGTCTTCTCTGATCATATGGGTAGAATCAATTACCAATAACAGGCTTAAGGTTAAGCTACTTTTCTGAATGGTGGCTTGCTTCTACAACTACCCAGTGGGGTGCCTTAGGTCTTCAGTTAAACAGTAAAGCTGACCTATGACCTTAATGAAAACAACACTGAAAACAATAAATTAAATCAATCAATAAAAATATGAACATAATTACCTGAATCCCCCATGAGCATTGAGAGTAGAATGATATTTTCTTCTTGAACATCGTGGTCCAGTAGCACCCGTATAGCCATCATGGCTGCTGCTCCTGTAGCTACAGTTGCGTCCATCAACATCACATGAGATTCTTTAATATCTTTAGGCAAGCGCAAGTAATGTAGCTGAAAAATGTACATGTATCTCCGAATAAAACCCATTTGTTTTCATAAATTCTAAGCAAGTCAACATTGAATAAATATAAAACAAATATTATTTTTTAAAACTAAATAATTTCCTGTCTTTAAAAGCTAATTGCATTACAAAACTGAAAACCAATTAACAATATTTAGCTGAAACAGAAAATTTATGTACTTGTATATCGATCAGTAGACACAGTACAGAACTGGTAGACCTTTTATCAGTATTCAAATTCAAACCCAAATGGTGATATGAAATAAGTATACCTCAGGTTCGCCTGTATCCAGATTGGTCTGTATCAGTATCTTGCCTATTGTGATATCCTTGTAAACTTCACATAGCGCTTGTTCCATTGTTTCCCCAGCTCGTAAAATTGATACACCAACAATCTGTACAATAATAAGTAACATTTTAAATGTTTGACCAAAAATATTAAATGTCTGACTAAATACAGTATCAATATTACCTTTATAGTCCCGACAGTCTGACCTATTTGCAGCCCTGACCTAGCTATGTAACAGGCTGGTTGTGTTGTTTTGTTGTTTATTTCACTCTTCTTGGAAACAGGACCACCATATTTAAGGAATATTTGTAGAAATGAAATCAGGTTTGGAAAAAATACTTTACTAGTTAATTGCTCAAAAGAAAGTACTAAAAGTGTTTAAATAATTAAAAATTCCTTCCTTCAACATAATGACCAATGTATGCTGTCAAAGATGTACTGATATATCATGTGCAGGCAGATTGGCAGCAGTCCATATTATCTGATGAAACGCTGTTCAAATCGGTTGTATTTTCAGCCTGTAGTTTAACATGTCCCACTTGAACCATGGCCAAATCAGTTGTTTTCCTTGGCTCATCTGTTGCCTCAGATAAAAGTGAAAACCCTGATGTGTTTATTGTCTTTATATTAGTTAATGGATGACCAATTAACAAACAAGTACCTTTTTGGTGTCAAGTCTGTAACCTTCATATGGTACACCCTGTACTGTCTCAATACTGACTTTCTGTAAAACAATTAGTCATTTAATAATGCATTCACGTGTATTGACTTAATAATGCTCTGTAACTTAATTATTTCCTTCTGGCTAGGTATGTTAAACCATTATACAAGTAGAACTACAGAAGTATATAAAAATTTACAAGAGAAAAGTATCCATAAATAATCATAGAAACAAGAGCTGTCGGTAGGACAGCAACGCTCGACTATTCTTAGTGCTTGATAGTAAAAAGAATGCTTGATAGAGTTACCTACTCCTGTTTACAGGTTGGGGTCATGATGGTGAACAAGTGTGCAAAGTTTCAAAGCCATATGTCAATGGACTTTAAAAATATTTGAACTATTACAAAAACTTAAACGTAAATTCTAAGTCGAAAAAGGGGCATAATTCTGTCAAAATGCTTGATAGAGTTACCTCCTCCTGTGTACAGGTTGGGGTCATGATGGTGAACAAGTGTGCAAAGTTTCAAAGCCATATGTCAATGGACTTTGAAAATATTTGAACTATTACAAAAACTTTAACGTAAATTCTAAGTCGAAAAAGGGGCATAATTCTGTCAAAATGCTTGATACAGTTACCTCCTCCTGTTTCCAGGTTGGGGTCATGATGGTGAACAAGTGTGCAAAGTTTCAAAGCCATATGTCAATGGACTTTGAAAATATTTGAACTATTACAAAAACTTTAACATAAATTCTAAGTCGAAAAAGGGGCATAATTCTGTCAAAATGCTTGATAGAGTTACCTCCTCCTGTCTACAGGTTGGGGTCATGATGGTGAACAAGTGTGCAAAGTTTCAAAGCCACATGTCTATGGACTTTGAAAATATTTGAACTATTACAAAAACTTTAACATAAGTGGTTACGCCGACGCCGACGCTCGGGTGACTGCAATAGCTCTACTTATTCTTATCGAATAGTCGAGTTAAAAAAGAACACAATTTTCCCGCAGCACGAAATAGCAGAATAAAGGAGTAGAAAATCGAAATTTGAATGCTTTCATGTATTCATAATGAAAGCTGGTCATTCTTTGAGGTTTAGTTATATTCAAATGAATCAACATTCAAATGGAAGAAAATCTCTGCTGCCCTGGCATCCATGCATTATTTCAGGCACAAAATTGGCTCCCTGAGTAAAACTGTAGAAATATGATAAACATTCACTCATTTTAATCATTATAAACTACTCCATAAACACGTACCTTATGAGGTAGAAAATTCATTGCATATTCAAACAGCAGTCTCATCAATCGTTTGGAATAAAATATAAACTCATCTCTAGCCGTCTCTTTGTTCCTGTAAATGATGGAAAGATAGGTCTATCATATTTACTTATATAAGTTTCTACGTAATATTGCCTTATAATTATGCTAAAATTTAAACAGTTACTATATTCTATTATGATCATAAATGAATTACAGAATACTGTTAGAAAATCCAAATATGTTGTAGTTATGGTGTACATCTTAATTTTGTAAATTTAAATTCTTGCATATGTCTACAAATAATTTAACATTGCAGCAGGACAATCTGGAACCTTAGTCTATCCACTGACTCTGTGCAAGCTAGCTGGATAACTTCCTCACATGAAAGAATTCAAAACCCCAGTGTGTTACCTCCATAGCCATGAGATGGCAAATGATTCAAAAGTCAGGAATGGTATTTAACTTCTTGGATTCATCATCATGTAGATTAGTTTCTGATAACAACAAGAAATACCTGATAAATGTATGTATTCCTCTAATTTACCTGATAAATGTATGTATTCCTCTAACTTGTGGAGTAGTTTGTAGCACCTGTAGAGAGGATGGTGGAGGATGACCATTGTTACCCGCATTAGCCATTATCTGACGGAGACAAAATCCTCTCTGAAATATATTATACACATTATATACCGGTAATTATATATTGTGAAATTAAACTGTCTAAATAATATTTTAAATTTTGATCATTTATTTTTCATGAATTTCAAGTTATAAAATAAAACAAATAATTAAAGCTAGCCAATTATTAAATTAAATATAATTGTAAATGATATTGTACATTGTATTTTTAAACTATATTCTTTTTGGGGTTTCTTTTTCATGTTTGGTTGTATGGAATTTACTGGTAAACCATAAAGGCACCTTTAAGATCAAAGAACAACTTTCCTCCTTACCTAGAGAATAAAACAAATACAGATGTTATACAAGAGGGCCATGATGGCCCTAGATCGCTCACCTGAATTATCAAACTCATCCAAACAATTACCTAGACAAGCATTCTGACCAAGTCTCATGACAGGTGAGTCAAAAATGTGACCACTACAGTGTTAACAAGGATTATCCATATTTGAGCAGTGCGACCTAGTTTTTTACCCAGGTGACACATATTCAAACTTGACCTAGAAATCATCAAAACAAACTTTCAGACCAATTTCCAGGATACTTGGATCAAAACAGTAGCAACTAGAGTGTTAACAAGATTTTTCTATTTTTAGCTCTGGTGACCTAGTTTCACATGCGATTTCGAACTCATCCAAGCAATTACCTAGACAAGCATTCTGACCAAGTTTGATGATAATGGAGTCGAAAATGTGACCACTAGAATGTTAACAAGGTTTTTCCATATTTGGGCGGTGTGACCTAGTTTTTCATCCAAGATGACCCATGTTCGATCTTCATCAAAACAAAAATTCAGACCAATTAACAGAATATTTGGATCACAACAGTAGCCACTAGAGTGTTAACAAGATTTTTCTATTTTTAGCTCCTGTGACCTAGTTTTTCATCCGAGATGTCCCATGTTCGATTTATTCCCAGCAATGACCTAGACAAGTTTCCTGACCAAGTTTGATGACAATTGAGTCAAAATTGTGACCACTAGAGTGTTAACAAGGTTTTTCTATTTTTAGCTCCTGTGACCTAGTTTTTCATCCGAGATGACCCATGTTCGAACTCATCCGAGTTATTACCTAGACAAGCATCTTGATCAAGTTTGATGATGATTGATGCAAAAATGTGACCGCTAAAGTGTTAACAAGGTTTTTCTATTTTTAGCTCCGGTGACCTACTTTTTCATCCGAGATGACCCATGTTCGAACTCATCCAAGCTATCAACTAGATAAGCATCCTGACCAAGTTTGATGATGATTGATGCAAAAATGTGACCGCTAGAGTGTTAACAAGGTTTTTCTATTTATAGCTCCGGTGACCTAGTTTTTCATCCGAGATGACCCATATTCGAACTCATCCGAGCTATTATCTAAACAAGCATCCTGACAAAGTTTGATGATGATTGGGTCAAAAATGTGACCACTAGAGTGGTCACAAGGTTTTTCTATTTTTAGCTCCTGTGACCTAGTTTTTCATCAGAGATGACCCATGTTCGAACTCATCCAAGCAATTGACTAGACAAGCATTCTGACCAAGTTTGATGATGATTGGTTCAAAAATGTGACCACTAGAGTGTTCACAAGGTTTTTCTATTTATAGCTCCTGTGACCTACTTTTTCATCCGAGATGACCCATGTTCGAACTCATCCGAGCTATCACCTAGACAAACATCCTGACCAAGTTTGATGAAGATTGGGTCAAAAATGTGACCTCTAGAGTGTTCACAAGGTTTTTCTATTTTTAGCTCTTGTGACCTAGTTTTTCATCTGAGATGACCCATGTTCGAACTCATCCGAGCTTTCAACTAGATAAGCATCCTGACCAAGTTTGATGATGATTGAGGCAAAAATGCGACCGCTAGAGTGTTCACAAGCAATTGTGGACGGCCGGACGGACGACGGACGACGGACATTCATCGATCCTAAAAGCTCACCCTGAGCAAGCTCAGGTGAGCTAAAAAGGCATATTTTTGTAGTCAGTCCACCAATCAGGCTTTCCTTGATAACCAGTAATAACCAACTTCAACAAAAGTGACTTACTGCTAATCCACATGATTTCTAAATCAGTGCTGAGAGACAAGTGACCATTAAACTCCATTAAAATGTTTGTGAGAAATTGTCACAGAGAAATTTTGTTCTGCAACCGCTGTATTACAGATCCAATGCTTTTTTCCACGGTAGAAGGACAAACTATTCACGATTCAGAACTGTTCACTATTTAAGGGAGATAGTGTGTAAGCGGCCATATAGGTAAGTCGGTAGAGCCGCAGTACAGTATTCCGAGGGTTCTGAGTTCGAGTCCCTCTTAGACTCGACATGTATGATGTGCTACCCAGCAAATCTTAATGTTTGTAGCAACTTACTTTGTTCAGCTGTGTGTGTACATGACGTACAATCAGATCTATTGCTACTCTGTTTTCACCACCCCTAGGCACAATAATATCTGCACAACTCATTGTTGGGGCAATCCAGTGTTCAAATGCTGGTTTGACAAATTTGTTATACTGTTTGAGAACACCTTCCAGTGCTCTGCCTCTCTCTGATATGTCACGTTTCATACGTCTAGCTAGGCGTATATCACTATCTGTGTCTACAAACACTTTCAGATCCATCAGCTATAGAAGTAAACATGAAAATGTCAATATTTAGAAGACTAAAATATATGTAAAGCTGATAAATAAGAATAAGTCAATCTGACAGATCAAAATTATTGAACAAATCTTCATACATCATACAGTCTCACTACACCTAACCTGGCTTATATTGTGCACTTTTTCAACAGTCAAATGAGAAATATGTGTATTTGCCTCCCTTGCTACAGTACCATATTTCTTGAAACGTCAATTTACAACTAGTTGTTTACAAGTACCATTTCCTTGCATATGCGAGATGAACTACGAGGAAAAAAAATTTCATAATCTCACTTGAAATTAAGTTCAAAATATAAAAAGGGCCAGAGCATTTTAACATCCCTGATTTACTAGTATAATGATCAGCAGCAACTAATCTAATGATGGGGAAAAAGATGAAAATTGTGATAGAAAAATCCAGTGATAATTTGTCATTACATATACTTACAGGTAATAAATCTTTGTTCGTGAAGGCCATTATACCTTCAAATATCACTACATTTGCCCCATATATTGTTTTCTGAAATTGCAAGATATCTCATAATCGTTTTTAAACAAACTTTTTAACAAATATTTGCCTAACATTGTCTTCTAAAGATGAAAGTTGTCAAAATGCCTGCAAAAAAAAATCTATTCATATCGGAGTATTGAATTGAATATTTCAAAATAGTAAGAAATAACACAGCAGAAAAAGTCAAGGAATCATTTATTATGAAGAAAACCAGAAAATAGAGAAAGAACAGACCTCCTTTTAGCAACTATTACACCACTAACTGGCATTATCACAGACACTTCAACATAATTACTGCTAGGCCATATTATTTCATGATGTTACTACTTGTCAATATATTATATACACTTACACATTGAGGTTCTCTGCTGTGGGAGACAAAATTATACACTGGTACATCGACTTTCTTTCCAACACGCAGTCTTCTCAGTGTTTTGGTGAGCAGCTCAAAGTCAAAGGCATCAGGATGATCAAAGTTGTACTCATTTCTGTTAGCTGCTTCATGCTCCTTCTCTCCTAACACCTACATATGAGAAACAACCGAGTAATTTATCCCTGCAGTTATACATATGAGTCAACTGATTAAGTTTTATCTACTTCTATATATTGCTATATTTATTCTTCTTAAAACGTTCCCAATTAAATCTATATGTGTTCACTGCTATGTTAACAATCAACCTAAAGGATCAAGCCTTTTTTTCTCATTTAGAGTACACATTTTACAGTACTGAACAAAAAATATTACAGTATGTCTAGGTTACAATCAAAGATAATTCTCGTCGTCTTTAAAGTGGATTGGTCTACAATGCTCACATTTTCCTTAAGTATTTCAAATATTGAAAAAAAAAAAAAAACAATAGAAATGTATCATTTGGTTATTCTTATAAATTACTTCTTGAAAAAAAAATGTTGATAAATTTCTAAGTGATTTGGAATATTAGTAATAATATTTTGTTCAAGAACAATTTATATCTGCTATATAAAAATAATATCATGGTATATCTGTTCATGTATCTCACATAAAAAAAGCCATATATAATTGTTGCATGGATTTCTATAGACACAAATAGACACTAAATACTATCAACATAATTATTTATGGTATAACAGACCTTCCATTATGGCCCAACCAATTCACTTTAACTAAATCTTTAATATTAATCAATTGTACTATGTACAAATTTATGTCAATTTTCAGAAAGACACAATTTAGAATTGAATTAAATTACAAATAGTTTACCTTGTAGAAAGAATCCATGCTTAATAAACTGACCCACGGTACATCTAATTCTTCAATGATTCTGTTGGCAACTGTTGTCTTACCCGATGCACTGCCACCACACACACCTGGAATAAATGTCACATAGATAATTTAATTCCCTTGGATTTGGAGTTGTAGTATATGTACACATTAAATGGTAAATTAAAACATAATCATGAAGGAAGGCTCACAAACTTACAAACTTACTTGCATCCATTCACTCATCATGAAAGACAAATCATACATTTATGTCTAAAATTCCAAGAAATTACTTCCCTTGGACTGAATGGCAATTATTTTTAGTCTTCATTGATATTAACACATTTTTCATCAAATATACCCCTGATTTTTTTTATTAAGCACAGTGAGTCCCCTTATTACATACTGTATAAACATGGTTTAAGTTTTAAATTTGTTTTACATGAAATTTTAACTTTACAGTTCTTCCTGTAAAATTTAGATGGCAAAAATCTAAATTTTACCAGCAGTCAGCTGTTTTCAAGCCTCTTCTTAGCAACCACTTTGATACATGAACAGTTACTGAAGACACTTGTGCTAACACTGAATTCTGCTGTCTAGTAACAATTCCAATGTGTTTTTAAAGTTAAAGTTCTTTAAAATGTGTCATATAAAATGTCAATATTCTTAATAAATAAAAATATGTGTCAGTCTTAAACTCTTAAACCTACCATATGTCAGACCATTTTACATACGATTTATACAGAGAGATACGCAACTGGTTATCTTTACTTGAAAAACTTCTGATAAGAATATCCTGTTGTCTGCTAGTTCGAAAAGTGTTTATAGTTGTATGTGTTATAATTATAATACTAATACCTATCACAAAAGCATCTTTAAGTTCTCCATGTGTATTATACCAAGGTGGTCTTCCAGCAGTATATAGTACCCGTAACCCTGTATGGTGGACCCTGCTTGACTTATTTTCACTTTTACTTGCATTTCTCACTTTTTTCTTTGGGAATGCTTTTGATGGACTCAATGGAAATTTTGTTGGAGTCTTAGGCTCTTTGATCAACTTGGCAGATTGTAATGTTCCAGGCTCACCATCTCCGCCTTCTGTTTGATCGTCCCCACTACCACTATAAAAATGCATTATAATAAAAATACTCAATAAACTGGTATAAATAAATAAGTGAAAGTAGTCCGAAAATCCAAATAACAATCAACATGTCTGCCCACTGATATAAAAATATTTGTTTACAGCACAATGTTTTTTATTCATACATTTTTGCATTTTTATATTTTTAAATTTAACTGAAACCAAGATTCCTTATATGGATCCAATTTATTTCCAAACCATTTATCTAAATCAATAACATATGTCATATTTACAGACTGTAAAGTAACCACAAACTTCCTATATGTCGTAATTATCATGATTGTTGCGTTGTTCAAAATAATTTTGGCAAACTAACAAAATAGATTCGACTATTCATAATTTTTGCTGATGAAACAAAAAAGGTTTTCCTGAAATTAAACGGTAACAACAAGATAACTCTTGATAATTTGACATTAAACTGTATGTTTCAACTGTATAAATTGTTTTATAAGAGAATTTCATAAAAATTGTGTCGATAAAAATACAATCGACTAATGACTTCACGTGTGGTAGATAAAAAAAAATATGTAAAGACAAAGCACGTGTTTGTGTACACGTCCATATGAAAACAAATTATCATACATATTGGCAGAAAATCGAAGTGACACATGGCAATAAGATTGCTGAAATATATCTGAACCTATTAAATGGGCAAATAACACAATAACTTAATTATACAATCACCTATCGGCTTCCGAACTCGCAGAACTAGCTCTCTCAAACTTAAAGGCTGACATGTTTGTTTAGATTTTCACAGGAAGTAGATTTGATTGGGCAGTCATCACGGAAGATGTTTCGGTATTTTCCGTTATCTAACGGAATTTAACGAGATGACAAGAAAATCAAACTGGGTAAAAATGATTTCAAGAAAAGTAAAAACATTCAAAATTCAAATAAATTTACATATTATGTCCGACTGATTATGACTGATTTAACAGTATTTATCACCATAATTCTACCGTGCGACTAATGCATTAACTTAAGCCAATAAGAGCTTTTTTTTTTATAGATACTGGGAACATGTACTATAACCCTGCCCTGGTGCAGGGATGGACGAACATTTCACAATAACTTTTTGTTTTGTTTTTGTTGTTGTTTTTGTTGTTGTTTTTGTATCGTATGTTCCAGATAGATATTATAACCCCTTTTTGGAAATTTACATTGATTAATAAGTGTCATTTGTAATATGTATATTTCTTCCGTTTGGTTACTTCACAATATTTTACTTAATTTTTTTTCTCAAAATTTTCATGAAAATTCTAGCTGCTTTAAAATATTTTTTTTATAAATATCGTTTAAGCTAATAAGGTTTAAGATATCATTCTCAAATTCTCTACTGTAGAGGTGGTTTGGACATTTTCTGCATATGTTTCAATGAAGCTGAGGATTATTTACACACATATAATTAAAACAAAACAAACAGGCAATTTTTTGATCACATCACTTTCTCCGGTTATGAAAGTTTAATACTATATAATGGCAGTTTAAAGTAAGCAGAACGTATAGAAACCAATGTATCAATTTATGAAACCAAAGTAGACATATATAAGTTGGTTATTACATTACTTTGATTTCATAAATTGAAACATTGGTTTCATATATTGAAAAATGAATAAATATATTGATAATTCGGTTTCATATCAGGACATCTGGTTCCATACATGGCTACTTTGGGACCATATATTGAAGAATTGGAATCATAAATTGAAAAAATCAACTTATATATTGCTAACTCGGTTTCATACACTGACGGTATGGTTTCATATATTGTAACTGTGGATTAATATAATGGATTCCGGTTAAATAAGAAGGTGTTTTCAATTCATATATAGTCGAAGTGAACTTATATATTATGCAAATGGTTACATAAATTGAAAAAGAACAATATCAGACAGCCATATGGCTTTCCATAAAAATATCTTGGAAGCGTATTTAATGATTCGCATGCAATCGCACTATCGGCGTATTTAAAATCAGACACATAAATTTGCGCCAGATTCTTTGAAAAGAACTGTTCACATTGAATGTTTGTTTGTTGAAAGCGTACAATTAATTAAAAATTAATTTAAAACGTAACAATATTTTTTTAATTTTGAATACTATGTGTGGGTTAGGCCCGTGCCTAGAGCAAGCGGTGCAACCATGGACGCAACTAAAACTGGCTGCCGGCCCTGGTGCAGGGATGGACGAACATTTCACAATAACTTTTTGTTTTGTTTTTGTTGTTGTTTTTGTTGTTGTTTTTTTGCGAGTTTTGCTTTACCAGTCATGTTTTATTACTTTTCATATAATTAATTAATTTATTAAATTTATTAATTTATATTGTTGTTATTAGCTGACTACAATGTTTTTTTTTCAAGCAACGCGTATGAGATGTCGTATTAAATATATGCTGTCAAATTTAACGATAGTCCGAAAAAAAAACAAACAAAACAAACAAAAAATTAAAACAAAACGTTTATTTTGTGTTGCGCTAGCTGTCTTTCAGTGTATAGTGTCTTTTTTTGCATAATCATTCTTAAAATGAAAAATGTATAATGGGCAAGAGCGCATGATTTAAAAGGAGGAAACTAAGACATATAGTATCTGGGAAGACGGATAATTCGGATTGTATCAATACCTTCAAACAAAATATAAAATGTTTAATATAGAATTCTGAAATCTGTAACAACCGATCGACTATCCAAAATTTAAACAAATTCTCTAATGCTTCTCGAAAAATGACATATCAAACATATGTCTCTGAAATGGACTGAAATACATGTAATAAATAATTCGTTTCACAAAATGAAAATCGCTTAAAATGTTCAAAATAAGAATAGATACACATAAGACCAACGTTATATACCATGAAAAATATATTACATCCCCATAAGAAGTCAGTGGGACATCGCGCTCTATTATTCTCAGTGCTTCATATATAGTTGGAACATGTCACAACAAAGAGGCAGAATTCATTCAAAATGCATCACATATTTACGAATCTTGATCGAATAGTGATCAAGGAATTTTGTAAGATAACAAAAACTCATACTTTATCTTGGACAAAAGGACCTTCCATTTTAATCTCAAAGACGAATGCAATTCCTAGTAAATATAATATCACTGCATTTTTGCAAAACTTTAACTAGGAGTTTTTAAGTTCACAAAGGGGCAATAATTCAACCCAAATCCATGTGAGAGTTATAGGCCTTCGACACTGATTGTCTCGACGACATGTTTGAAGTCTTCAGTGGTTAATGAGGTTATACAAAATGCCAAACTTTAGGTTTTGCGTGAGATGTTACTATTTAGTGAATAAAGCCAAAATTTGACGTCAAAATCTTGAATTACCATCGTGAATAACGATATGACGACGTCAACGTTACATAAGGTTTAACACGCAATTACTATAGACACATGTGCCTAGATTGAAATGGCACTTACTAAATGTACGTTTGAAGTTATTTAGGACCACAAATCCATGAAAACACGTTCGCGGCCGTTGGTGTTTTGCTTGCATACTATAAATTCCGTTACAGTTCAAAGCTTGCATGACCATGCATGTTAAAGGATTCTCATCGTTCACAACAGGAAGGCTATTAGAGAAAAAAGGATAGAATTCAAACTTGGATTTTGACAATAGCAATCCGAAAGAAGGACCAAGGTAGAGTTTGAAAGTTTACTGCAGTGTCAATTCTAGGAGGGGATGGGAGGATTCACTCATATTTTTGAGAATCCCCCCCCCCATTTTTTCAAAGGCAGGGAGAAAATTTTACATAGAGAAAGAAGGTAAAAGATCAACAAATGTAATAACGTCTCACTCACTTTTCGATAAATTCCCTCCCCCACCACCCTGTTTTTCAAATCCTAGAATAAACACTGTTACCGTTTCAATAAAATCATGTGCAATCGTATTTTATTCCATGGTGCGGTTATGACTATCATCTTCTTGTGTTTAGAACGAGTAGCACGTGCACAATGTAGGCTAGCCCCGATCTGGCACAATACCAGTTCACGAAAGTCCGACAACGCGCCGTTTGGCCCTTTGTCGTGCTGTTGCCAGCGACAACACGACGCACAAAAGAGTTCTAAATCAGCCACCATAGTATAGTGATTTTTTATAATGTAACATCAATACATTATAACCAAATTCTCTTGAAAAAAATCCGTTTTAGGTAACGGGACAATTGCTCAAAGTCATCCTCAGAGGTATACTGGATGTTGACGTGACAGGGAGATGCGGGAAGTGGGGGAGATCATAGTTTTCTAGGACATCATATAATAAAGTTTTCACCATGTATAATGCACGGACCAAGACTTTCCTGCCGGAATATTTACATGCCGGGTCCATACAATTTTAATTGGCACAAAAAGCAGGGATATAACTCGGATTTAAAATGTTATCACAAAATGATCAAGTAACTATCTGGTTAGCGCATCAGATAACTAGCGATTGTGAGGAACAGTTGAGGGCATTATCATGATTGTATTTCCCCTTTATTATTCCTCCTCTTGTAAATATTTAACGTGTTCACCATATAATATTTGCGGAAGTTATATGGTTATTTGATAAAATGTATGCCTCCAAAATATACTTGTACAGAAAATCTTAACAAAAAAAACAAAAACAAAAAAGAACGCAGGAATTCGTGTTTGTTTTTCCCCTTTTTAAATAAGCACATGAATGTTTTATGTCAATATAGATTTGTGACGTAAAGACTCGAACGATACAATATGTAGAATACCAAAGACGATCCGGATGTATGGATTTCTTCTGTTGAAAAGGACTGTCTTAAAAAAAGAGAGATATTTTTGTACTCCATGTTTGAAACAAGAAGTATATTTTAAAAAGATACTCGGCCGAAGAAAAACGTTTTGCGGGAGGAAATATGGTTAAACAGAACTTAAATATCTTAGTAATTTAACTAGAAAGTTAATTAAAGAACTATCCTGTACATTTTACTTTAGAACTATCGTTTACATTTTATTTTATAATGGCAAAAACTATCCTTTGAATTTTATTTTAGAAACTGGAGAGATAAACAATTCAATTTAGAATAACTCGCTGAAGTGATATACCGGGTGGTAACCGTGACAATGAGATTGGTGATAGTGTATACGCAGTACATGTAATTCTGTACTGAAAAAGTAGTTCTAGATAGGAAAATATTTGGTTTCCTTTCCTTTGTATTGACAAACAGAGAAGACTGCATATGGAAAATATGGTGATGGAAATGGTCAGGCGCTATATTGTCAGCCATTATCTCCCTACAATCACCCCCCCCCCCTCCACACACACGCGCACGACGCACACACGCACGCACGCATGTCTATAGGAGTGACTTTACGTTTGGCACGGGCAAAGGGGGTCGGAGCCACAAGTGACTGGTGAATTACAACTGGAGAGATGGATCGTAATGTATATTACAGTAACACATAAGCAGATACATGTATATATGTGTGTCATGTGATATTTTTCTTACATCCACATATCAAAAACTAAGTCAAACTAAGTCTAATAAACGAGATAACGAGAAAAAAACGTACTTTTTAAATGAAATGGAAATAAAATGTTCTTTTTTAAATATTCAAAAACTGTCCGTGAATGTCCGTGAAATGGGTCAATTAATTACGCTTATCAATTATCTAAAATAATTACCTTGTACGAATGGAGTACTTGTAAAATCCATTTACAAAACTTAACACAAATTGGCTATTCCATGGTAGATAAGAAATATTTGAAAATTACGAATTAAGTAATTCCAATCGTTATGGTAAGCTACAATAGTCTATGTCCTGATATATTCCGTTTTTAAAAAAATTTAAACCGTGATTTTTCGAAAATGCATTATTAGGTAGGTCACGTGGTTGTCAAGCTGTTGCATGTTATAGTTTATGAGGGAAGTTTATTGACATGTACGGTTTATATATATATAATATATATAAGTACATGTATAGGTTATATTATTAGAGTGTTAATGAAATGGGAAGTGCAGCAGCTCGGCAGATTTAATGGAATTAATAGAATGCAGTATTTTAGTATTTCAAACAATTATTGACACATTGACTTCGGAAAATCGGCTGTTTATTAATAAGAACAGTACATTGAATTATTTATAAAATACTTTAAAAGATTCAAGATTAAAAACACTACATTTGTTAATGTTGAGCCGCGCCGTTTTTGATCAATTTGATTTTGTAAATGTTTACTAATGAACACGTTATAATCCATACAGAATATAAAATGTATGCTCATTATTATTATGCCTATTTTATTAATAATGACAAACTATAGTGATGAAATGTATGATAAACACAGCATACAATGTGCATGTATTTGTTTGGGGGACAGGAGGGGATTGTCATTGTATCAATTAAGGGAAGGTAAAGTACGGATGTTTGGATGCTTCAGAGCGTTGTAAGATCCAAGTATAAATGTAATACAGTATTATCATACTTTTAAATACCATCCATGACACTTTCAGCACAATAAGTCATGAAATAAGGACTCAATATTTACATCAATAATTCAGTACATGGTCACATTTTCCATAATTATTTTTTTTTTATAGAAAAGTATCATTTAAATCATCGTCGGATACCCACGGTTGATTAACATGTAACTGTAACATTAATGTTAATGGTTCGGTTGTGTGTATCCAACGATGCATTTGAATATTCTTAAAAAAATATTGCTTAAAAAATGTTGATATAAAAAACTTATTGATTTAGTATGAACATTTACAATGTAGTGATGAATTATTGACCTATTCATTTCAACTTTTGGAGATTATATGATTTATTTATATGTACACAGTTTTAAGATGATTGTAGGCGGAGTGCTTTAATACTTCTAAAATATTACCACTCATTTGTATAAAACGGCAACAAACTACCATTTATGATAAAACATAAAACAATTTTATATACGCCCGCCCGTCATATATTCCGGTAGTTATCATCAACTTGATATTTGTTGTATACATCAATACATAATGAGAATCACTTATAAACCACTAAATACTTAGAGGTTTTACCAAAAAATGTCAACTTTGAGTGTTTGATGTAAAACAACTGTACCCATGCAGTTTAATGTAAAGATGGTTAGACCACTTTATTATATTTTTGGTGTAACCTAATATATGCTGGTTACAGCTCATTAATTTCCCTTTTTCACAAATGATTCTAAATTTTTCCACTTACTAAAATTGTTTTCTAAAATTATACAATATGCTGTCTTTTCAGCATTTTGAAACTTTGTACAATGTTCAGTTTGTACAGTGTCTACAACCTTTACAAACCTGCTTTTTTAAACAACTACTTATGTATAATTTATAATTATCATAATTATAATTACTGCACTGTAGGTATTGAACTGTTTTGGTTATATCAAAATTCAGTAAAGTATTGTAACCAACATTTAATATAATAAACATTAAACTGATGTAACTAAATGTATTCAATACAACAAAATTTACAAATACTACAATTTATACAGTCTTACTGTACAAACTTTTACAATTATATTACTAGTATTATACTCTCTAAATATGTATATAGGTAATGAATGATGTGTTCATGCAGTTTCTATAATTTGTCCTCACCCTGCCCCAACTGAAAGAGAATAGGGATAGGCCCTATATTGTTGGATAGCCAACTGCAAATTTTTATGGACCGTACCTTAAAATGGAGACAAGACAAGTCCATTTAAGAAATATAGCAGGGTTAGTACATGTCATACCTCCTCTTAACTCATTCTCACTTATTAAAGTTGGAAAAAGATGCTGAATAAACTAATATCAGAGTTGACGCAACTCGAAACTCAAGAAAAAATATCGTTAATTGACCAAAGTTTGTACTTACTTAATTTCTGTACTTTCACTCATTTCATCACCATCTGCAGTTACATTATTTCCCCTTTCTATATCTCCAATTTCCATGAGTTTTTTATCTTCCAATTCTTGATCTTCTAATTTTATACCTTCCAAGTCTTTAATTTTAAATTTCATATTTTCCAATTCTTGATCTTCTGATTTCATATATTTCAATACTAGATCCTCTAATTTCTTATTCTGTAATTCTTGATCCTCTAATTTCTTATCTTTAAATTCTTGATCTTCAGATTTCTTATCTTTCATTTCTTGATCTTCAGATTTCTTATCTTTAAATTCTTGATCTTCAGATTTCTTATCTTTAAATTCTTGATCTTCAGATTTGATATCTTTAAATTCTTTATTTTCAGATTTCATATCTTTTAATTCTAGATCTTCAGATTTCATATCTTTTAATTCTAGATCCTTTAATTTCTTATCTTCCAATTTGAAGTCTTCTACAAGCATTATTTTGTCTTTTATCAATATGTCTTTAACAATTATATCTCCAATTTCTATGTTTTCTATTACTTTATCTTCCATTGATACAGTTCTTACCTTGATGTCTTTTGTTTTAATGTCTTTAACATTTATATCTTCCATTTTAATGGCTTCCATGTTAGTTTATTAACAAACTTAAAGAGTTCCTTAACAGAACATGTATTGTCCATTATGTGTGAAGTTACCCTTTCATCACAGAATCTGCCATATTACAAAATATCAGCACTGATGCAAACATAAACTTAGCATTTGAATTTATCATTTATCCATTTTTAAAAGGCAACTGGCCTTTGTTATATACTAGTATAGTAAATATTTACATCACTGTAAAGTTTACACAATATTATTTTATTTATAGTTCATAGGATGCTTATACTTTACTTTCAATTTTGAAGGGGACTAAAAAGTACATACATATATAATTATGTACTTGTATATAATTAGTTTAACTGTAATATATACATATATTTTAGGTTGATTTTAATGAAAATTTGAATCCACTTACTGGAACTAACCAGTACTGGTGTCATATGAGGTAGCATGCTCATGTATGAAGGTTTGAACTTTTAGTCTCTGGGTTGAGAGGAAAACACCTTAACCACTAAGCCACTACACCTCCTACATATAGGGGTCAAAATCTGGATTTATGTACATCTCTATCTTTGAAATGTAGAACAAAAATTATTATATTATATACAGCATGTTCAACTTTTTTAAGTTTTTGATAATAAACAATATCTTGGATAAGTGGAAGAGTTTTCAATCATTGACCAAAAATTTTTCAAGTTCACAAAGGGCAATAGTTCATTAAAATCCCCTGCAAGAGTGATGGGTCTTAGAAAAAGTGACCTTTAATTTTAATGCCAATATTATATGAAACAAGTTTTCAAGTGAATACAAGATTAATGTTGTACCCAAAACAAACCAAGAAGTTCACAAAGGACCTACATTTATTTATATGAAGACATGTATTAAATTTCAAACAATACCAACAGTAAGTTTGAAAATTGAAAAAAGTACTCTAAAAGCCATATTTCTATCAAAATCTATGTTAGAGTTAAGGGCCTTTAACAGTGATAGAGTTAAGGGCCATTAACAGTGATCTACTATTATGGTTTGTTACAACAAATAAAAAGTTTAAAGCAAATATCTGAAAAAATCTTAAACAAGACGCCCATGATGACCCTGAGGTCGCTCACCTGTATATAGGCCCCTGGAGCGGGGCCAGTTTAAACCTCAGGGCTTTTATTTGAACAAACTTGGAAGACACCCATTAGAAGATGTTTCATGATGTTAAGTTTTTACTACACACATATAATGAAAAACATCGACCTCTGCCTGACCACCCCCCCCCCCCCCCCCCCCAGGGCCAATTTTGACCCCAGGGCTTTTATTTGAACAAACTTGGTAGACACCCATAAGAAGATGTTTCATGCTAAACATCTAAGCTCTAGCTCATTGGGTTTTTTAAAAGAAGATTTTTTAAAGTTTTTACAATACACATATAGTTAAAAACAATGACACCCCTTGGGCGGGGCCAGTTTTGACCCAAGGGCTTTTATTTGAACAAACTTTGTAGAAACTTACCAGAAGATGTTTCATGCTTAATATCTAACTCTAGCTATTTGGGTTTTTTCAAAGAGAATTTTTAAGTTTTTGCTATTCACATATAAGGAAAATCAATGACCCCCGGGGCGGGGCCAATTTTGACCCCAGGGCTTTTATTTGAACAAACTTGGTAGACACCCAATAGAAAATTGTTTCATGCTAAATATCTTAGCTCTAGCTCTTTGAGTTCTTTAAAAGAAGATTTTTTAAGTTTTTACTATATGCATATAGGGAAAATCAATGACCCCCTGGGGCGGGGCCAATTTTGACCCCAGGGCTTTTATTTGAACAAACTTGGTAGACACTTATAAGAAGATATTTCATGCTAAATTCTTAGCTCTAGCTATTTGGGTTCTTTAAAAAAAAGATTTTTTAAGTTTTTACTCTATGCATTTAGGGAAAATCAATGACCCCCTGGGGCGGGGCCAATTTTGACCCCAGGACTTTTATTTGAACAAACTTGGTAGACACTTACTAGAAGATGTTTCATGCCAAATATCTAAGCTCTAGCTCTTTGGGTTTTTTAAAAGAAGATATTTAAAGTTTTTTCTTTCGATTGCCATGGCAACCAGAGTTCTGCATGGAATTAAATTCTTTGAACAATTTTTAAAGGTGACCACCAAAGGAACATTCATGTGAAGTTTGGATGAAATTGGCTTAGTGGTTTATGAGGAGATGTCATTTAAAGTAAAAGTTTACGGACGGCCGGACGCCGGACAGACGGACGAAAAGCGATCACAAAAGCTCACCCTGTCACTTTGTGACAGGTGAGCTAAAAAGTCTAGCTTAAAGTAACAACTGCAAATAATACCTGATTTAGCACAAATATAACACACATGCAACACATATGACCTGAACAGACTGGGATGGTGTGACTTAATTAACCCTATTCCATATCATTTTAAGAATACATTTAGTATATCAAAAACACGGTTGTTTTCAAAGTAGAAAAAAAAACACTTTTCATGCAGATGTGTTCACCAGATACAGCTCGAATTTGCTATTCTTTCATTATCTGTTTACATGAATATCGATAATTCTTATATAAAAGCATACTATTTATTGCATAAATCTTTTATCACCTAATCAGTCACTCACTTTTAATGCATTTAGCACTGTTTGCAGACCCTGGTCATACAATCATGGTCATACATGTAAACTTTTTTTGATGATCAAGTGGGAGATTTTTCTTCAAAAAGAGGGAGATTTTAGAGTTTGCAATAAACAAAGAAGAAAGTTCTGACATCAAAAATAGGGAGATTTCTTTAATTTATGAAAATACCCCTTATTTTAAGAAAAATCTTTAAAAGTATGGCTGCAAATAGTGGGAGTCTCCCGCTAAAAGTGGGAGAGTTCACATGTATGCCTGGTTCGAATCCTGGAAAAGGCATTTTTTCTTTTACTTTATTTTTTGATTATGATTTTTTTTTACTGGATTTTAGTTCCATCACACAATGCTATTTTAGAACATTTAGTTATACACACCTTCGCATTCAACAGGTTAAGTATAATACAACATACATATAGTTGTGATTACCATGATAAATGAGCAGTGGAAGAAAATATATAAATATATATACATGTACACATATATATGTAAAATTGTTAAAAATGTGGCGAATAGAGTTTCAAACAGAATATAATTTATAATTCTATTCAATCTGCTCAATGCTGAATGACAGTAAAAATCAAATGCATTCAATTTTGATTATCCATCAGAAGTTTTAACTTTAAACAGTGCAAAACATTATAAAAGAGAAAATGAAAAGCTACATGATACGCTATAAAAAATATATTCTAATAGAAAATACCATACTCAAGAAATGTGCACGATTGCAGATTTAAACTCGAAAAACCATGTTCATAACCTGAGATCTTCATAATCTGAACTCTCTAACCACTACTTGGATTTACTTGTTTATATCCACTTTTATTTACTATATTACAATAAAATTGCAAAATGTAATTATTGAATAGCTTGCACAACCCATTATATCATAATGTTACGATTAATGTATACGTTATCGTGTTCGACTTATATAAAAATTGCATTGTATTGTCAATAGATAAAAAAACCAATAACTTTTCATTACATGACAATTACTGGACAAGCATTGAACTGGAAAGTAATTTTAGGGGTAAATTCATTGTATACTTGAATTAAAAACAAAATGGTATATTTCATAAATGTCATTAAGGTATATTGCCATTTTTTTATTGGAATCCAGTGGCAACTCACAGGCATTCTAAAATGTTTATTTATGGCTTCAACAATATGCAAGTACACAAGTGGATTTTCACCATTGAATTGCATACAGCAATTGTATATTCCCAGCTTTTTTTTGTATAAAATATCAATTATAATACAATATAAACATGTATTAATATCATAAATTATTATAATTTGCAAGAGCTTCAACACCAGATGGTACTTGATAACAAAAATATGAATAATAAAACCTGTATGTTTGACATACACTTTTTAATTGTTTGGTTTTATTTGCCAATAAAATGCAAACAAATGAGTTTCAGTTTTACAATGGTAAAAAGAGTGCAATGTATATATATATTATGTTTTAATAAAACAATTAATATTCTTTGTATTGCCAGTGGCAGCTTTATAATTATTTTTAATTACCTTAAAAGACCTTGACTTTTTGTTTTCTATAAATGTCCAATGTTGACCTAGTAGCAGTAAGTGTTGGTGAAAACTTAAGGTGCCTCCCACCCTTCCATGTGAGGCATCATTTCAGGAGGTAGTGGGTATCTGAACATAACCTTTAACCTGGTAGCTTCCTGGCAAGATTAGATCCTGCAGCAGTGCAGCCAGCAACCTTAACCTATAAACCTGTGACCTTTAATTATGATATACACATCATGTCTCCATGTGATGATATCTCTCAATATTTACAATAATTATAGTTTTCTACCCAAATGTTTGAAGAATCATCTTAATAGATGTGATCAGACCCGATTTTAATGTCAATTATGCAAAGGAAAATGTATTACTTGGGAATATTCATTTCAGCATATAAACATTGCAAAAAAAAAATGATGAGAATAAATTGTATGATTTAACTTTAGGGTCAAGGTAACAAATGACACAAATTTAAAACATTATGGTGTAAACATTATAAAATGTAGTAATATTGGAGCAGCACAGACTGTTGTTCTGACCTTTTACCTATTTATGTGAAACTGAGATGAGCATGTTATAATATACTTATATCCACTGATGTACTTTAAAAAGTTTTGTAAAGTGTATAAAGCTATATATTTGCTGTTGTGGATTGAAAAGGTACTGTTTTTCTTTGATTTAAATGATTACAGAATGCCTAAAATGAAAGGAATTTGTAAGTATGTTTTATAGAAAGAAAAATCATCGACAAACCTTATAACATAGCAGCAGAATATTTTTTTTTATTCTGTTTGCATGCAATATTCATGCATATTATATGATATAAACATGAAATGTTACAAATCTTTCAAGAAAAAAACATATGTATATAAAAATACTTCATCAGATATAGCTTTAACTACATTGTAGTTTAACACTTTGGAAATGTAAGTTTTAGGCGCAAAACATTTTCAACTGGTGAAAGGGGTTAATAATTCAACAACTTAACATAATTATTATTTTCAGTTTTATTAATACATTTTGCTAAACATTAAATAAATATAAAAAACATTCAAGCCACCTAAAACTTGGACGGATTCTATGAGAATACACAGATCTACTCTACTATTTATGTTTCTTAGACCTAAGACATGCTAGATAGTATTATTATAGTATGTCCCAGATAAGACAACATACACAATCATGTCTAAATACACAAAGTAAAGAGCAACCATTAAGTCAAATTTAAAACTTTTTGAACATGATTTTTTCTTTTTTCTTTCAACAATCAAAATGCATGTTTCACAAATTTTCTGGCAAGCAAGTACCCGTAAATACATTTAGAGCTTTTTTTTCTTCTTTTTTTTGAAACATCAAAAAGTCACAAATTCTACTCTTCACCTAAATTATCATGGCTGTTCTTTTTCACTGAATGTTACAACATGTAAAAAATCAAATTATCACAACAACAAAAACAATTCTAAGCAAATTATACAATTAAAGTTGGAAAAGAAAATTCATAAACAGTTAAAATATCACAGTCAACAGCATGGGTCCCTTTTCTGTTATAGCACACATTTAAAACAACAAATAGTAAGTGTTGGCTCTGGGATCACAAGTTTACGTAACACTAGAGTAGCGCAAAGTAGATACTTCTGAAATATTTGTTTTCCAAAAATAATACCTTTATAAAGAGTATTTGCCAAAACAAATAAAATATCATATCATATCTTGACAGAAGATGAAAATAATAGATGGCAATTAGTAAGATCTTTAATTGAATAAACTACACTGACATACTGAATTAGATAAATAAATTTAACCTGATAATACCATTCTTAATTAATGTTCTTACATTGTACATATGTTTTTATTATAATGTACTTACTCGAAGGGTATAAAGCTATGTGTGTTGTAATATCTTTATTAAAATGTATAAAATTATACCGATTTCCCCCCATACATACACATCTGTAGTATATTGACAAAAATTCATGGTAACTTATACCTCTTCATATATATATATATTTTTTTTCAATAACAGGCAGCAAAAATATAGCTTTATACTCAAATTTAGTAATTATTTTAATATTCTGATGTAATGAGGTACTATTATATCTATAAATATGTACTATTATATGTATAAATGTAAAAGAATTTGAAATAAATGGGGTTACCCAGTTGGGGCCTGAAAAAAAAAAAAAAAAAAAAAAAAAAAAACAAATAAAATATCATATCACGATACATATGTAAATGCAAACATTAGCATAAATATGACAATTTGGTAGCATGCCACTAAAATTATTTTGCTTTATAAATATCACAGTCTATCTAACATCTGCTATGAGATCATCAACTTGGTCCCAATCTATAAAACTCATCATGCTTCCACTTGATACAGATCCACCATCAGCAATCTGAACCAGTTCATCAATGTCGACAGAAGCTGTATAATCATCACCAAGATCTCCCATGACAGCGTCATAGTAATCGGACACTTGTTCTGATGGGGCGTATGATGCAGACTGACCAACAGCCTAAAAGTATAAAATTACACTTTTTTATTGTTGTTAAAATAATATTTACAAAAGCTTGTAACTGAGGCCCAAAAATTATCATATACAATTTCTGCTCTAATTTATTAACTGTCTATAATGAAAATCAAGGTACAGAAACATCTACAGTCAGCTTCTGTGTGTTAAACTTCAATTAAGTCAATTTTCTATAAATTCCTGGAAAACTTTATGAATCGTTCACATTATGAATTACTTCCTGTGATCTTGACATGTTGTTTAGTACAGACCTGGTGCACTGTATAATTACATGGGATACATTTACTATAACCTGGTTGTCACCCTTTCCTTTTATTACCTCTCTTGTAAACATGGACAACTTCAAATTTTGTTTGTAAATTCATGGAGTCAAATACCCAATGTCTTAAATTTTTATATCTTCAACTTAAAGAATTTCTACTGTATTTTAGAAATAGGAGTGTGTCAGTCTTAAGTAACTGAATTGGACATTGAACTAATAAAGCAAAAAAAAAACATTTTAGAACTTACAATAGAGCTTTCAACATCATTATAAAGTATATCTCTGACATCATCTCCCATTGACCAACCACTGACCACAGATGCTGACTCCATATGGTCAAGGTTATCTGCCCCCATACTGGTGTAAGGATCTCGGTATGGTCTCTGTCGAGTGACTCCAGGTTTGTGAGTTCTTTTGCTTGGTGGAACTGTACAAAGTAATAAAAACCAATCAAACATTTCCACTATTCACTATCTCATTCCAGAATGAACCACTTTAAATAAAATCTTATTACTATCAATAAGATGTGTGCATACGTCTTTGAGAAATTTTAAATACTAACTTGACTAACAAAGTTTATGTATATACAAGTATAAATCAGAAATAGTAAAGCGTTAAACAAAATGCTTCAAGAATACCACATTTGTCTCTCTCTAGATTTACCAGTTATAGAAAGTTATTACAATTCTACATCAACTTGTATCTATCAATACATACTTATAGGTACACATACCTTTGAAAGTCTTCTGTGGTTGTAGATCTTGAAGTTGTTCAGCATAGGTTTTAGGTTTGTGTAATGGTTTATGGGATTTTATCATTGGTTTTTGTATTGTCATCGTTCCTGCTCCAACTGTAATAATGGTTAATTAGCTGCTTAATTATATGATATGCACATGCTTTAATGAAAATGTACAAATAGTATATGGAATATATCAAAATAATGTACTTGAAATGTAAGTGTATTCCTTTAAACAAACTAGAAATGTGCCAATAGGACCAACATTCAACTGAATGGGCAGCAAGATGGGTGGGCAAACAAGGGCCAGTCAATAATCAATATCAAATCTTTAGGATTTAAGTTACATCCAAACAGTGGTGACAATAAAGTAACAATGCTGATTGTTCCATTTATATTAATGTACTCATTTTTGAAAAGTTCATGAAATAGCCATTTGTATTTCATTATTTAACAAATAAAATTTCAATTTGCAAAATATTTGCCAAATTACTGACAATTATCATGTTGACAGTTACTTTAGTTACATTATAATGTAATGTAATGGAATGCCAGGGGAGGTTACTAGAGTTGGTTCTACTTTCAAATTAAACAGAATGATGACACAACTCTAATGCATAAGACAGAAATAAAACAAGCCAGTCAATGCTCTACTTATTTTGATCCAACATTAACAACACCTCCAACAACTCCCCATGGACAAACATTAAATGAGCCGCGCCACGACAAAACCAACATAATGGGTTTGCGACCAGCATGGATCCAGACCAGCCTGCGCATCCGCGCAGTCTGATCAGGATCCATGCTGTTCGCTTACCAACTCTATTACAAGTAGAGAAACTGATAGCGAACAGCATGGATCCTGATCAGACTGCGCGGATACGCAGGATGGTCTGGATCCATGCTGGTCGCAAACCCACTATGTTGGTTTTGTCATGACGCGGCTCAAATAAACGCACCTCTAGGTTTATGATAACCTTCATTCAATTTCTTCAGCTGTTCAACATAAGTGACTGGTTTATGTTTTGGTCTGACTGGACGTGAACCTGGTCTTGCAGTAGTACTAGCAACTGAAAGATCATATAAAATAGTGTCAATAAAACTAAATTAACAGAAACGATTATGATAAAAATTCTTAGTTTAAGTATATGATTTGAGGTAAGCCCTATAAAATAATTCATTATCTCTCACAATAGATAACACTGTACAGCTTACAACCAATTTTCATTTATGGGTACAAACTTCTTCAATTCAAAAGCTCTCTGATGAAGCATTTCAGACTAGGACTTAGCACAAAATTTGTGTAACTCTGTAACATAATCAAAGATTTTTTTTTTTTTATCAAATCATCACGGTAGATCCATAACTACATAATTTGAAAGGAACATTCCTTTCCACTGGTACTATAAAAGGGTGACAAACTTACTGGATGATCCAAAATGAGACTTTGGAGCTACTGGAGTAGAGTACGTCTGTCCTGATTTCATCTCCTGTAACCTCTCTGTGTAAGTCTTCACCCGGCGTGGAGTCGTCTCTGTTGGCTTCTTAGACGGCAATCTCTTCGAACCTGAAAAATTGACATGCATGATTTACTTTCAATAAAACACATTGGGCTTGTTTGGGCTTGTAGGGGCCAGATACATGATAATCTCTAATCATTAACCTGTTGAATTTCTGTGATGGACTTGCCCATCTTTAAATCTGGAAATGTCCATTTAAAAGTAAAACGGATTTCAATATAAAACTTCTAAAATTGAGCTAACAACAGTATGGAAACAGGCCCTGAGGTTATAAAGAAATCTAAGCTCAGATCTCGGGCATTTTATTGGTCAGAGACTGTCACAGAATGTACATTGACCAATAAAAATCCTAAGATTTGAGACTGAACTCAAAAAGAATTTTTATAACCTTGAGGCCAGGTCAGGAGGTTATAAAACATTTTCCGAGTTCTGTCTCAAATATAAAGATTTTCATTGGTCAGTGTATATTTTGTGGCAGTTTCTGACCAATCAAATACTTGAGATCCCAGTTTGAGCTCAGAGAATTTCTTTATTATCTTGGACCTCAGGTCAGACTGGACAGACTTGCATGCTGGCCTGGCTTTACTTTTAACAAAGACTGATAAATCAAATTTCATTAAATAACATGAAAAATAAATAAATATATTTTTTTAGAAAATCTAGAATCTCACCATAAATCATGTGTCTCTCTCTATCTGTCATCTCAGTTCTAGCTGAAGTTCTAGACGACTCACATATACTCAATCTTCCTTGTTCTCGGTTGTACACCTGCGCAAATTTAGTCACTTGTTTTCTTGTCTTCTCTGGTCTTTGTACTTTCACTAGTTTTGTATACGGTGTGACTTTATGTGGCTTCTTTGGTGTAGGTTCTGGCTCAGCCTCTTTTTCAACCTGTTGCCTAGCAATGAAAGCTCCATGTTCCTGGCTAGAGGACACATCCAAGGCTTCCACTGCTTTGTAATACTCGGTGAGGTCTCCTAAGTGAGTAATTAATAATTCAATTATGAAACTTTATCAATTATCTTAAGAGAACAGTATATACTAACAATTATCAAATTTGGTTTACCTTAACATATACTGGTTGTTCTTTTTTTTTCTTTTTTTTTTTTTTTTTTGGGGGGGGGGGGGTGAATTAAAAATAATACTCACCATATAATGAACATTCAAGGCCTGAGGTAATATGAAAATAACCAGCCACATTATGAAATGGGTTTCATATTTCATCATCTAAATAACTCTAAATTATCATAAAATTAATGTAATTATAGATGAACTTAATGTAATTATAGATGAACTTAAGTTGAATATCCAAGACAAATGTATACATAAATATTTCATTCTTGCCTGTTGTTTCTGCAGTCTGCTGCAGTTTGGCTGGTTCCTCCTCATGAACATCATCCAAACTAAGTTTGAGTTTGGGAACCATTCCTGGTTTCTTCCCCTTAGAAGGCCCTCTTGTCGGCTGAACAGCAATTTGTCTTGGTGGTAGATGAGGAGTTCTGTCACTCTCTAGATGTACAGGAGCTGGCCTAGGTTCTTCTTGATATGTTGGCTCTTCCATCATCCAATCACCTTCAATGTTAAGGTCATCATAATCGTCCCTATTATAGCCATAGTCTGGCATGTACGGAGGACTGACATCTCTTGTTTTTAAAATACCCTGCAGTTTTCTGGTTTGAGTTCCTCTCTTTGTTGACAGTGGTGTCCTAACACTAACTGGAGACCTATCTTTCGTTGTTTTTCGTCTTGGAGTGGTTACTCTTTCTGGCAACTCTTTAGGCAGTTCTGGTTTGTCACTGAGGATATTTCCCAGCAAGTTTTGTGCCTCATCAAGACGTTTTGTCATAAAGGCTTTCTTGGCATTTTTGCGGGATTCCTCTCTGGCATCAGCGAGTGCTTTCTTTTCCTTTCCAGTCATTGACTTAAAATAACATGTGGTAAAATAATGATTGTATCAAATATTCAAAACATTAATGCTTATAAAACTGAAATTTTACAAAAACAATCAAACACATATTTCAGAACAAAGCACACAAAAAAACAACACAAGGAAAAACAAACAAGAGGGCCATGATGGCCCTGAAGTCGCTCACCTGTATATAGGCCCCCAGAGCGGGGCCAGTTTAAACCCCAGGGCTTTTACTTGAACAAACTTGGTAGACACCCATTAGAAGATGTTTTATGCTAAACATCTAAGGTCTAGCTCATTGAGTTATTTAAAAAAAAGATTGTTTAAGTTTTAACTATACTCATATAGTTAAAAGCAATGACACCCCTAGGGCGGGGCCAGTTTTGACCCCAGGGCTTTTATTTGAACAAATTTAATAGACACCCATTAGAACATGTTTCATGCTAAATATCTTAGCTCTAGCTCTTTGGGTTCTTTAAAAGAAGATTTTATAAGTTTTTACGATATGCATATAGGGAAAATCAATGACCCCTTGGGGCGGGGCCAATTTTGACCCAAGGGACTTTTATATGAACAAACTTGATAGACACTCATTAGAAGATGTTTCATGCTAATAGCTCTTTGGGTTATTTAAAAGAAGATTTTATAAGTTTTTATTATATGTATATAGGGAAAATCAATGACCCCCTGGGGCCGGGCCAATTTTGACCCCAGGGCTTTTATTTGAACAAAATTGGTAGACACCCATTAGAAGATGTTTCATGCTAAATATCTTAGCTCTAGTTCTTTGGGTTCTTTAAAAGAAGATTTTTTAAGTTTTTACTATATGCATATAGGGAAAATCAATGACCCCTTGGGGCGGGGCCAATTTTGACCCCAGGGCTTTTATTTGTACAAACTTGATAGACACTCACTAGAAGATGTTTCATGCCAAATATCTTAGCTCTACCTCTTTGGGTTTTTTAAAAGAAGATATTTTAAGTTTTTTCTATCGGTTGCCATGGCAACCAGAGTTCTGCATGGAATTAAATTCTTTGAACAATTTTTAAAGGTGACCACCAAAGGAACATTCCTGTGAAGTTTGGATGAAATTGGCTCAGCGGTTTATGAGGAGATGTCATTTAAAGTAAAAGTTTACGGACGACGGACGGACGCCAGACGAAAAACGATCACAAAAGCTCACCCTGTCACTTTGTGACAGGTGAGCTAAAAACATAATTAATTCATTAATATTATTTAATAATTACATTTTCCTAAAACTGTATGCATCATCTCACATATTAATTATAAGGATAATTCTTAAATGTCTTTATTACAACTATGCAGAACTATTTTAAAAACTGATGTTTTATTTCTATTAAAAGAATAAATAATTTATTCACAAACTGACTGGTAAAAAATCAAAATAAATGTATGAAAGAATTGATAAATAAATGTATCAATTGTACTGTACATATTAGACAAATACATACATAATCAAAATCTTCATGCTTTGGCTTAAAAGGTCTTGTTTCTCTTTCTCTAAGTTCCTCTAGATGGCGCTTGTACTCCACCATCTGTTGATGGCGTTTATTACTCATCCATGTACGTAGAGCCTCTTTGTCCTGGGCACCGTCTCTGTGAGCCGTCTCCGCCATTTTCTTGATCTCATCCAAGCTAACACGAGCTTCAAGCACCTGATCTTGTCTGTAAAAGAAATATAACTATACCTTAGGGAAAAAAATTGTCATACGAAATTCTTGCAAAAATTAGAAACAGTTTTCCTAGGTTAAAACAATGTACAAAATAATGCATTGATTTATTTAGATGTTGTAATTGCATTTTATAGTCTAAGTTTCATGCTTACGCACGTTCACCGACTTTACAGCTATTACCCCTGGTCATCGGGCTACTGGTATCTATCTATCAATCTCACTGGGGAGTCTTTTAGCTCCGCTTAGTGCAGCCGACACTTTGGCGCAACGGAATTATACCACCCTCGCAGGTACCCATTTACACCTGGGTGAAGTGAAGCAATCGCAGGTAAATTTCTTACTCAAGGAAATTAGCAGTGCCCCTGGTGGGGTTCGAACCCGGGACCTCTCGATCCCTAAGCGCGCGTCCTACAACTGGACTACTGCTCCCTGTTGTATAAGCTGTATTCCATTGACTTCAAAACAAGATAAAAGTGACTGGCCTAATCTTCTTAATTAAAAAACACATATAAATAATCAGATTTATGAGCATTAGCTTCCTACATATGGCTAACAGATTTAAAAAATAATCTGATGTGCTATTCCATACTTAAAATTCATATGGCATTTTGTCTTAACAATGAAAAATCAATTACATTCAATATTTTCTATAGGATCTTTAAGGATTATAAACTTTTTTGCATCTTTCATTTATATTAGCATATGAACTGTCTGTTACCTGATAGCTCCCCTTTGTACGAGCCTGTCTGCCTCGCGTCGTGACAATCCAACATCCTCAAGATCAATGTCTCCCTTGGCAACCATATCACCAATAATATCACTGATGCCGCTCAATCCTGACAACTTCGCCAGCTCAACAGACCTGAAAATTTATACAAACTTTATATATATATACCTTTCAGCAGTATAATTCTAGAATTAACAAGAGGGCCATCATGGCCCTAGATCACTCACCTGACCAATCAAACTCATCCGAACAATTACCTAGACAAGCATTCTGACCAAGTTTCATGACAGGTGAGTCAAAAATGTGACCACTACAGTTTTAACAAGGATTATCCATATTTGAGCAGTGTGACCTAGTTTTTTACCCAGGTGACCCATATTCAAACTTGACCTAGAAATCATCAAAACAAACTTTCAGACCAATTTCCAGGATACTTGGATCAAAACAGTAGCAACTAGAGTGTTAACAAGATTTTTCCATTTTTAGCTCCGTGACCTAGTTTCACATGCGATTTCGAACTCATCCGAGCAATTACCTAGACAAACATCCTGACCAAGTTTGATTATAATTGAGTCGAAAAAGTGACCACTAGAGTGTTAACAAGGTTTTTCCATATTTGGGCGGTGTGACCTAGTTTTTCATCCAAGATGATCCATGTTCGAACTTGACTTAGAAATTATCAAAACAAACTTTCAGACCAATTTACAGGATATTTGGATCAAAACAGTAGCCACTAGAGTGTTAACAAGATTTTTCTATTTTTAGCTCCTGTGACCTAGTTTTCCATCCGAGATGACCCATGTTCGAACTCATCCAAGCAAGTACCTAGACGAGCATTCTGATCAAGTTTGATGACACTTGTGTCAAAAATGTGACCGCTAGAGTGTTAACAAATTTTTTTTATTTTTAGCTCCTGTGACCTAGTTTTTCATCCGAGATGACCCATGTTCGAACTCATCCAAGCTATCACCTAGACAAGCATCCTGACCAAGTTTGATGATGATTGAGGCAAAAATGTGACCGCTAGAGTGTTAACAAGGTTTTTCTATTTTTAGCTCCGGTGACCTAGTTTTTCATCCAGGATGACCCATGTTCGAACTCATCCAAGCTATCACCTAGACAAGCATCTTGACCAAGTTTGATGATGATTGATGCAAAAATGTGACCGCTAGAGTGTTAACAAGGTTTTTCTATATTTAGCTCGGGTGACTTAGTTTTTCTTTTGAGATGACCCATGTTCGAACTCATCCGAGCTATCACCTAGACAAGCATCCTGACCAAGTTTGATGATGATTGAGGCAAAAATGTGACTGCTAGAGTGTTAACAAGGTTTTTCTATTTTTAGCTCCGGTGACCTAGTTTTTCATCCAGGATGACCCATGTTCGAACTCATCCAAGCTATCACCTAGACAAGCATCCTGACCAAGTTTGATGATGATTGAGGCAAAAATGTGACCGCTAGAGTGTTAACAAGGTTTTTCTATTTTTAGCTCCGGTGACCTAGTTTTTCATCCGAGATGACCCATGTTCGAACTCATCCGAGCTATCACCTAGACAAGCATCCTGACCAAGTTTGATGATGATTGAGGCAAAAATGTGACTGCTAGAGTGTTAACAAGGTTTTTCTATTTTTAGCTCCGGTGACCTAGTTTTTCATCCGAGATGACCCATGTTCGAACTCATCCGAGCTATCACCTAGACAAGCATCCTGACCAAGTTTGATGATGATTGAGGCAAAAATGTGACCGCTAGAGTGTTAACAAGGTTTTTCTATTTTTAGCTCCGGTGACCTAGTTTTTATTCCAAGATGACCCATGTTCGAACTCATCCAAGCTATCACCTTGAAAAGCATCCTGACCAAGTTTGATGATGATTGAAGCAAAAATGTGAATTCTAGAGTGTTAACAAGGTTTTTCTATCTTTAGCTCTTGTGACCTAGTTTTTCATCCGAGATGACCCATGTTCGAACTCATCCGAGCTATTAACTAGATAAGCATCCTGACCAAGTTTGATGATGATTGATGCAAAAATGTGACCGCTAGAGTGTTAACAACTAAATGTGAACAGACGACAGACAGTCATCGATCCTAAAAGCTCACCCTGACCATGCTCAGGTGAGCTAAAAATTGAACAAAAAAGTTTAGATTTTTGTCTTTCGAAATTATTTTTAAAATGTTCATATCCTTTTTTACGGAAGAAACAGCTGTCTGTTGTTTATTCTTTACAGTTAACTGTTCAGCTGGATGTTTGCAAAAATGCTAATTTGGAACTTAAATCATCAGTTTAATTTTCTGTATCTATTGAACAGGGATCAATTTACGCGCTTTTGCATGTCACCATGTCTCAAGTCTGCTTTGCCTTTTGGTCATATAACATTTCAATTCTGATCGACCAAAATCCTTTAATATACCTACATGTACATTTATTTTAATATACTATTAACACCTGATTGTTCGAAGCATTAAATGCTATTGCGTTTTCATGAGACATACTTGAATAATATGTATTTCTGTTGAATAATGAGTGGACTGCATGTTGTTTTTCATGGTCTTTGTTTTGAATATTTTGAATAATTATAAGCTAAGCTGGCTTTTATATCCCACTTTATTCATTAAACTTTGAATAAAACTGAATATAATTATCACTTTCATGATGGTTTTCATTTGCTGAATATTGAATTAAAAATGCATTTGCTACCTGATATTTCTACGTATTGAAAGTCTTACATGCATAATCACTTTACGTTTTTTCAAGGTTACACAATAAACATGAAATGACTCATGAGATATGCAGTGTAATTATAAATTATTGCTGTGAAAAAAAATTCATATACATTAAAAAACTAGAAGATGCTTTTGTAAAAAAGCGCATGTCTCCCCCACTGCTGAGAATAACTGTGAATGGAAACAGGAATGGAAATGGAGATAAAAGAACAGAGTATATAAAACCAGACAACTGATATATCACTGATATATCAATAATAGTTAAATGTCCTCACTGATAAGAACTCTAGTTATCATCCGGAAATGAGAAAATGACCAATGGTCACTGTGACCTTAACCTTTGACCTACTGACCCCATAAACAAGAAGGATCATCTGCTCAATAAGACCAATCATCCTATGAAGTTTGAGGGTTGTAGGTCTAAAGGAACTCTAGTTATCATCCGGAAAGGAGAAATTAACCAACGGTCGCTGTGACCTTGACCTTTGACCTACTGACCATTAAAACAATAGGGATCATTTGATTAATAAGACCAATCATCCTATGAAGTTTGAGGGTTGTAGGTCAAAAGGAACTCTAGTTATCATCCGGAAATGAGAAATTGACCAACGGTCACTGTGACCTTGACCTTTGACCTACTGACCCCAAAAACAATAGGGATCATCTGCTCTATAAGACCAATCATCCTATGAAGTTTGAGGGCTGTAGGTCAAAAGGAACTCTAGTTATCATCCGGAAACGAGAAATTGACCAACGGTCACTGTGACCTTGACCTTTGAACTACTGACCCCAAAAACAATAGGGATCATCTGCTCAATAAGACCAATCATCCTATGAAGTTTGAGGTCTGTAGGTCTAAAGGAACTCTAGTTATCATCCGGAAACGAGAAATTGACCAACGATCAGTGTGACCTTGACCTTTGACCTACTGACCCCAAAAACAATAGGGATCATCAGCTCTATAAGACCAATCATCCTATGAAGTTTGAGGGCTGTAGGTCAAAAGGAACTCTAGTTATCATCCGGAAACGAGAAATTGACCAACGGTCACTGTGACCTTGACCTTTGAACTACTGACCCCAAAAACAATAGGGATCATCTGCTCAATAAAACCATTCATCCTATGAAGTTTGAGAGCTGTAGGTCAAAAGGAACTCTAGTTATCGTCCGGAAACGAAGAATGGACGGACGGACGGACTGACAGACGGACGGACTGACGGACGGACAGGGCAAAAACAATATGTCTCCCCCCGAGGTGGGGGAGACATAATTATTAAAAGACAAAATCATTTTCAAGTAATATATTTAAATTTTTCAATTGTTAATATAAGAAATTCTGATATCAAAGCGCTAAAACTTAGTAAATTGTAAGTATTCTGTCTAGTCAGACATGCATGCTGATCTGGCTTAGACCACTAGCAGTTTATTAAACCCATAACCTACTGAATTTCTATAATGAATTTGCCTTGCTTTGAGTTTGGAACAATCCATTTAAAGTTTTAAGGGTTTTCAGAATCTAAATATGCAAATGAGGCTACCATTGAACAGTATAGAGCCTTGTCAGACTGCATGGATATGCAGATGGGCCAGGCTTTATACTGGTGTTAAAGTCTGATCACTTTTGATTCCAGCTGGTTACAGGTTAATTATTAATCGCTCAAAATGTTTAAAATAATTAATTAAGTATTTTAGAAAAATACTGGAACAATTAAGGGTTAACCCTTACTATGCTTAATATCTAAAATGAATTTGTCCATCTTTCAATCTGTATAAAACCATTCATCATTATGGTAAGATTTTATTGTTAAAATAAGTACAGACTGAATAGCTATCAGTGCCAGGCCAGGGCTGATCTTGGTCTGCACATGGCAGTCTGAAGGGTAAAACTTAATAATCAAAATGAAATAAATCACTTACTTGGAATGATAAAATAGCATAATTCCAAATTTGACACTATAAACCTTTTTAGACTCTATATTATATTCTTTTCTTTGTACTTTTATCCAATCAAACTCTTGAAACACTTAAATGTCATAGGAATAAGAAAATGTACTTTGTCCATAAACAAGATTCAAATAGAAACATAAAGTACAAATTATAATTGTATTGATAGCCTTTTCATTTGAATTAATCAATTTATCCAATTTATTCATTGATACAGGCTTTAATGCATATGTGCAACATCTTTTATTAGAGATTAATCAACCCTAGTTGCTGTGAGGCGTACTCAAAGACATCCATCATGCAGAAAATGAAATCAACAATTAATGCACGGCAGACAGAAATTTTATTAATCCTGCATGATAAACACATTTTATATATTTATAATGATCATCAGATTTCTGTATTAGTAAATATCAATATCTTGTGAGACGTAATATGTTGTATAAGGTCAATGTCACAAGACACTTGTTTTCTTCATTTCTTTGAATACTAGCAACAAAAATAACCAGCCTATACCTTTAAGTATCAAGCTTGCCTAGCCTTCAATTATTATATTGTAATACCATGTTCAATACTGTTTACAACTAAATCTTAGAATTTTAAAAAACTGAAATCCCTTTACCTACAAATAAATTGTTCTAAATTCAAGGACAAGAAAGTCCAGTATATGAATTTAGCAAAGTTAGGCTAAATGTCAAGAGATATCACATTTACATGAAATACAAAATATTTTTCTTGATTTTGATCACAAACAGTACTGCCGTACATATATACATAACTGTTTTATTGATTACCCCCACTCCCCATCCACCTCACCCCAATAAAACAAAACAAACAAAAAAGCTCTAAATAATAATGGCAAATGGCTTTATAATAGTGTGTGACATAAGCAATGTAACAAGTAAATCTTTACTGATAGTTTAAGCATGGGTATGATTCCATATTTCATATTATATTAATGATCTCTGCATGCCATGGTTACATATAAATAAAATATGTCTAGTAAATCACTTTCGATAAATTAATAATTACTGTCATGTATCAAAATCAACATATACAATTTGTTGAACTGCCTTATTTTATATGTTTTTCTTTCTTGGGCAGAAGAAAAAAATAAGAGTGATTTCGTTTTTCATTCTTAGAGAGTAAAACAACTTTTATGCCTTCTTTTTCATTCTTGGAAAGTAAAAATATATTATAACATTTCAATAATATGAAACTTCACCTAATCAAATTACTTACATTTACGCCAATGCCTTTGTAGCCAATATTAAGAATTTGGGCTACATTACAAATGATGAACTGCTATATAAAGTATTGCATAAATTTCTATGGATATCAAAACATAAGAATCTTCTTGTTTCTAAACTTATCTTCATTATTTAAACCCCAGTATTTACTTTTTAATACAGAGAAGATTCAATTTCAAATTTTATAAATTAAATTTCATAAAGAGGAGACTTATTTCCTTTGAAAAATTTATACTTAAGAAACAATGGAAACTTCTATTCAGCAGAGCAGTATCAAAGTATGATTCTATTGTCTTGCAGTTCTTCTCAAAAGAATGAGAAATCTGTTACAATATGACTTTTTGCATGGTGCAAGGGAAATAACCTGTGGGATTTTTTAGTTTGGTTTTATGTCACACCAACACAGAAAATGTCATATGGCAACATTCCAGTTTTACTGGTGAAGGAAGACCTCTTGTGTCCTCCTGTGCATTATTTCAGGCATGAATGGGTACCTGATTAAATCACAGACATTCTGTAAGTTAACTGGATACATGAAAGAATCTAAAGTCCCTGTCAGGATTCAAACCCAGTGATGAGAGGAAAGGGTAATAACTCAAAAGTTATGAAATTATGATGTCAATAGTTATGGTTCTTGTGTACTACACATCTCCTGAAGTACATGTATGTCTATATACCACTGACCTTTCATATCAATATCTTAAATACTTCTTTCAATAATAAGTCACATTAAAGTTTTTGCAAACCATGCAGAAGATTCCAGTGATCACAAAAGGTGATACAAATAGGTCTACTTTTACCAAACTTCTCAATGACATTGATGTTAATGTTCAAGACATTGTAATTTAAGAAAATTTCAGTTGTTTTAAATCTGATAAAAAGCATAACATTAGAAATATTGACCACTGAGTTATCACATCATATGAGTTATCATGCCTAAAGTTTGTATGCCAAGAGTGAGTGTAATTTCTCTGATAATACCAAAATACCAATAACCAAATACAGTGAAACTTTTAAGTTAAAAAGGGACATATCTCTTAAAATATTATATTCAGGATAATGCCTCTTGTCTCACAATCGCACCTTGTCATGATAATATTTAGCATTTGTAGTTTCGTGTTGATAATTTTAAACATGTTTAAGTAACGGGATACATTTGCACAATAACAACAATAATGAACCATGGATCAAAATTGCCCAAACTTTCCTTCCAGACAGGCAAGCTAAAATGTTCAACATAAACATCACTTACATTTCCCTCTTTTCTTCGCCAGCAAAAGTTGACTTCTTTGACCTTGCAGTTGACCTTGAAGTCATTTTGGCACTTGGTGTAGGCGACTTGGTTGATCGTACAGGTGTGGACACATCTTCACGAGAGCTCACCAATTTTTCAGGAATACGCTGCTCTTCATCCATAATATCTTGACTGGTTACTGGCTCCATGGCATTTGTCATATCCTCTAATGTACCTAGTGCCTACAGGGAACCAGAAATGATACATTTACCTTAAAGCATTACTCATTTTAAGGTTTCAAAATGTTATCCTTTTGGCAGAAGTGATCTCAATTCAACTCATATGTCTGTTACAATCAGGAGAAAAGTTCATTATAAATGTCCATGTTGTTTCAAATGTTCAAAATGAAAAGAAAACTTAAAATACTTTTGCATTAAAAATATGGCAAATATGAAAAAGAGACAATCTTTTAAAGTTATGCCCATCTGTTGGTATATAGTGATTGAATAGGTAAAAGACAAAATAAGTTTACATTTTGCAATAATTCCTTTCAATTTTATAATTTACTGCACATGAACGATAAATAACTCACATGACCTATGGAAATTTCTACCAGAAATCATCTGTGATATTTAATTTATAACAAGAATAGGGCAATCTTGTTATATTTTAGGCAGATTTTCATTTTATCCTAAACATTTGTCAGTCAATCATCATTGAAACAGTTAATCTTTTGAAACATACAGTCAATTTCAGCTTAACTTGACAAAGAAACAATGACCATAAATGTCACTTTAAAAATATAATTTTGAATGTTTACCAGTCTAGTATTCTTGAATTCCCTCTCTATATTGTTTGACATATGATCAATGGCAGACAGCTGGGAGTTCATGTCTCTTAACCTCTGCATGATGGCATATTTGGAGTCTGGCATACTGTCACGTGGCATGATGGCAAGGGACAATCTATCATGGTCCTGCATCCTTGTCTCGAACAATTTCACTGTAAGCTGGTCTGCTCTAGTTGGTCTCTCTATAACAGGAGGCTCAAATGACAGTCTGGTATCATCTTCCATGGCTGTAAATAAATTGAAATGGATATGTTAATATACTTATTTTGTTGGATTTTTAGTCATACCAACACTTTATATATCACTTGGAAAGTTTTAAACCTTTATGCATTATTTCAGAAATAAGGATAATAAGCATGTGTTAAGTCGAGTAGATCCACCAACCCTTCTTAAGCTACGTTATCTTCATAAACCATAGTAACAAGGAACAGATGATTTTAAGTCAGTTCCCTTAACCACATTGTACTTTGTATCAGTTTTATAATTTCTATGGATAGAATAAAAAGTATATACATGTTACCTCTTCATTCAGATCATAATAAAATAAGTTCATGTTTGTGTTAGAAAATGTAAAAAATAATCTTTATATGGTCAATACTGACATAAAACTGTAACAAATGAAAATGGATTTTCTGCAAGTATTGGATTGTGTACTGTGTAAAACCATATGGAAAATGAAAATGGTTTATTGCTAAGCAATAACTTAAATTTTCCCACTTGGAACAGATGAAAATAGCTTATTCCATACTAAGTATTTGATTGGGCTTTTCAATATACACATATATACAATAAACACATACATAAAATATATACACTATATGCATATATACACACTCATATACATTGTACATACATATATGATATACACACACACATATATATGTATTTAAACAAGCTTATACTCACCCATTCTATTCCTGATGTGTTGTTGGTCAGGTGACAGGGATTTATCAAGCTGTGGTTCCGTTTGTTCTGGTCGTTCCCTTATTTAGCCATTTTTTGTAGAATACACATTTATCAATCAACAATTTTTACAAATTCTATAGAAAAACAACAAAGGGTGCAAAAACTACAAACTAGTTGGAATCAACAGCAATTCTTCCCCTTACTGTTACTAACATTTCAGTGATTTTGGTACTAATTTGGTTTTTTTTGTTTACCAACACTGCTTTTCAATCATTTTCAAGCACATTTTCAGCAACTTTTCAGCAAGTTTTTTTTAAGCACTTTTCAAGAGTTATCAAATTCAAGGACTTTTAAGCACTTTTTTTTCATTTTTAAGCACTTTTTAAGACTGTACAAACCCTGTTATACTTACCCATTCTATTCCTGATGTGTTGTTGGTCAGGTGACAGGGATTTATCAAGCTGTGGTTCCGTTTGTTCTGGTCGTTCCCTTATATCATTCAGAACAGCCGAGGCATCAAGGTCGACTACGTTCAGATAGTTACGTCCCCTAGACTCCTACCATATAAACATGATTCAATTATACACTTATATCATGCAAATGTTCATGAAAGTAACAATTTGTTTAAGTCCTAACCACTCTTACAGGCAATATTTCAAAAGTTATTTTTTAATTCTATTCTACAGCAGTGCACAGTATACTGCAGTTAAATGCCTATTTTTAAGCATGTCTACAGACTGGTTTGAAAAGTATTGATGGTATTATATTAAAATTTTGGATCAGTTACCTAGGATAACAATAAAAGATTTATAATATTCTTAAAGTTTTCAAATTTGATCAATAATCTCAGAATTATAACACTCAAATGTCAAATATCATAAGAATTTAAAATTATGAGTTGTCATAAAATGCAAAATGTCACAAAGGAGTCATTTACTTGCCAAGGGTAATGTTGGGCCAGACAAACGAATTAACAACATACCTGACGATTGAAGATACATTCAGACCAATAATGATACATGTACAATGTACAACATATTATGGTAGTAATTTTACTCAGATGCCACACATATATGATATACATGTATATTGTATGCTACACAGTCCAGTCATAATAAATGATAAGTTTCAGACTAAAATACCAAAAATAAATAATGTGCACAAAAATAATAATTAACTTATAAGTTGACAACAGACAAACAGCACCAATTTAATTTGGGCATATTTTTCTTTTTCTTTATGAAATATATAGTACATTTTGTATATATAGATACCTGAGAATTTTCACTATTAAACCTTAGGCCCATGTATATATCAGGTGGTAGAACATTAGGTTGTCTACTCTGGTTGTACTCTATCACAGCTTCTTGTATAGGATCGACACCTTAAATCATAACAATGTAACTTTAATAATATATATTCATCATACCATATAAAGATAAAAAATAAGAGCTTTCAACTCAACTTTGTGCTAGAGTTAAGATCTTTATCACATATGATGTGTATGATGATTCTGAATATATTTGTGAATATATATCTGAAGAAAAAAAAGTCAAAGAAAAAAAAAACAACAGTTTTTAAAGTAATATCTAAGTTTAAAGATAAAATCTAAGTTATAGGGAAAATAAATGATTCTTGAAATATTGGTGCTAGAGAAAAGAACTCAGACATGATGTGTGTTATGAAAAGTGAACAAGTCATATATATTTGAAGTTTAAAGGCCCATTATGTCCAAAAAATACTTTCTATCTTATGTTTGGTTTCAGAAAATTACTCATTGGCCAATTACCTGAACAATTTGTTGCGCTGTTGCCTTATGGCACTTTGTGGTTATAGTGATTTAATATTTTGTATTCTTATTTATTATTTGAAGTTAAAATACTACTTTTTTTACATTTTGCTACTTTATAACTCACATTCAGCGCTATTTTCTTCAGGTGATAACCATCTAACATACTTTTAAATGAAGGAAATAGTTATTCGTTTCTGAGACATAATGTGCCTTTAAAGTAAATCCCTAAAGAAATAAAGAAGTTATAGTAAAAAGCTATTTCACTGCACAAAAACTTTAACCAAAAATCAGTATGCAGATTCCAGGTTGAGTAGGACAGCTCTCCATATTCTTCACAAAGTCAAGGTAAAATGTCATGAAATAAAGTGATCATATAAAAACCAGCAAAATATTATAAACTTGCAGCCAATTAATCAAAGTTTTTTCAGTAGTCTGTGCAGAGGTGCAGATGTCTAAAACAGGAACAATTTTTTCAATATTATAAATATTCACAAAATGTTTATATACCTGTATCCTTTGTGATAGATGTAGCTTTCTCTGAAGTTCTGAAATATGCTGGTTCTTTAGGCACAAAGTCGGCATCCACACCAGCATCCAACATCTCTGCTGTGTTTGTGGCAAAATCAACCTGAATCATGCAAAATATAACACATTTAGTATGATGTTTATTTTTACAAGGCATAAATTTTCTGCTGAAAATATTTAACACTGCAGCTTCAGTCTTGCAAATATTTTCCCAAATTTTACCATAAGAAATGATGATAAAGTTTGTAAAGTAACATTATAAGATAAAAACATGCTTCATGAGGTATTTCCTTGAATTAACTTTTATCACCAAGCCGTGGTTATTTCTTTCATTCTCAATGGTAAAGATACTTCTTTTTGCATAAAAAATTTAACATACTATAAAATTTCACAATTTGGCTATTTTTGTTTCATTCCCTCATTATAGAAACATTAATAAATATAAAAACTGAAGATATCTCAATCACTTTAGCAACAATAGCATAGTAAGATATAAGATATGTATGTAGATGAAATATTTCATAACAAAGTTGACACTAACCTTTGGCCTTTTCCAGTTCTCCATCATTCTTTGTCTCTGAAGTTTTAATGCAGTCTTCAGTTGTATCCTGGCATGTGTGTCCTTCGTCTTAGACAGGGCATTTTCTAATGCCAGGTATGCCTCAAACTCTCCTGTAAAAAAAATCTCACTAGATACTACATTGTATGACTTTCTTAAAAATGTCTCAGCAGTATATGAAATAGTAAAAGTTAAACTGCATTTACACTTACAATACAAAAGTACTTTAAAGTAAAGCAATAAATATCTGGAATCTATTAATAAGTTCTTGTGAATCTTAATCATCTAATTAAAAATTTAACATAATGTAAAATAATTAACTTGTATCACTTGCAGCTGACTATAATTGTATCATAACAAACAGGTATCTACACTCATGTACTGGACTGACCTTGTTTGATAGCATATCCATCATGAAGCTCCTCCTCTTCCTCCATTGACTCCGCCTCTGTAACATCCTCCTCTTCAGACTCCTCCTCCTGTCCAGACTCCGCCTCCTCTTCCATATCCTCCTCCTTGTTTGACTCTTTACCAGACATACCCTCACTTTCAGCAGTATCTGGAGATGATTTCTTTCTAGCAGATAACTTTTTAGAACTTTTGGATGACAGCTGTGAATAATAACAAACAAATAAGAGAAAGTCAAAATGAAATTTATGTTTAGATATTAAAACCAATCATGCTTGCAATGACAAAGATTTTTCTTTTATTATCTTTAGATTTTCACTTTTTAACTAACATCTGCTATGACAAATTCATTGATTAGTCAACTGTTACAAGTTTCTAGTTAAAATGGAAAATAGAAAATACAAACTTTGAATGCAAGCTACACTTTCTTCTTTTACTTACTTTATACTCTACAAAATGTATATATTTAATATTTAAAGTAAAATGATCATTTCTTATTTAGATAAAGGTTTAGAGTGTAAAACTATTAAAGTAACTAACATGTTCAGACAGTGAGCGTGGTGTTTTTCTAGGAGATGGTGTTTTTCTTGGTGTAGGACTTTTTCTTGGCGTTTGAGCTTTCCTTGGAGATATCCTGGCCTCTTCCTCTATTACAGGCTTCAGATTAAGGTGTAACAACCTATCTCCAAAAGTCTGTTTGTACTCTTCCTTTGCCTTTTCAGACTGTATGAAAAATAATTTTAGCAATATTTTAACCATTTAAATTAACAACTTACTTTTTAACCATTTAAATTAACAATTTACTATCAGGCAAGTTTATGCTTAAGATGAAATGCAACTTTAAACAATTCCCTGACTAATTTCAAAGAACACTAATTTGGCTATAACTATGATTTTAGTGACTGCTCTCAAAATAACCAAGACTGGAAAAAAAAACACATTTGGCAAATTTCTAGTATATATGTATAAGGTTTTGTAGTTAATGCTAAATTGCTAATTGATGTTTAATTAACATAGAACTACTTTAACCCATCTATCCACACAATGATTAATCACAAAATACATGTATATATATATCGGGACAGAACATTTAATACACATAACGATAATTTCACAGAATTTACCTGTAATTCCTGGTACTCTCTAAGGTATCTTTCCCTCAACATTTCTTGTTGTTGTTGTTCTCTATCAATCTCACTCATCATATTAGGGGGAAGTAACTCTCCAAACCTAGGTTGTCTTTTAGATTTATCTTCTGCTGTTTGTAGCCTTAGCAGAGGAATTCCAATACCACTATCTGGACTATCAAGTTGCCTAGGTGGTTGTTGTTGTTGTTGGGTAGGTCCAGGAAAGGCGGGACTAAAACCGAGCTGACTTTGAAAATATCCAGGTTCTGGCTGGTATTTTGGTAACATCTGAGGTCTCTGATTTACAGGAAACTTGTGACCAGGTACCGTCCTGTCAACATGTAGCAAAGGCATGTTTGGAATACCTTGTTCTGGTGCCTGGCTTTGTCTTGGGCCCCAAGCTTCTTGTGGTATATGTGGAAATCTGACCCCTTCATTCTCCCGTTCAGCTGGAATCCTTAGAAAGTTTGGATAAAAATTTACACCAGAATCTTGAGACACTCTGTACACCTCTATATTTTCACCATTTCTTAATTCAGACATTCTTAAAGGTGAATCTATATTCTCTTTCCCTTGAGCATGAGGTTTAGATTTTCTTCTTTTCAGTTCACTTTGTTCAGTCATTTGTAAATTTTTCAACTCACTCATGACTCCTCTTATAGAGCCTTTGCCTTTTCTTATTCCTATTTCATCTGCAGTTAGATCCTGGTTACCTTCCCTGGTAGGTGACCTTGATAATCCTTGTCTTTGATTGGCAGGAATTTCTGGTTGCCAAGCAACAGGAGGTTGACCATCCAGGGCACCCATCATTGCCATCATACTTTGATGCTGAACCTTAAAATAAAAAATCAAAAGCATAAAAGATAACCCTATAACCTTAACCTATTTTAAGCATATTTTTGCCTCAGATAAACAACCAATTCATTATGACAACATTTGTATGGTAGATCAAAACTCCATTTTAATTTGTCATGTAACGATGCTGGAATATATATTGCAACTTTTTTTCAACTGATAGAATGATTTTAAAAATATACAAAATATCTTTTCAAGAAGAAAATAAAACTTACTTCCATCATTCTTCTTAGTTCTCCTCTTACAATATGTTGTAATTGTTGTGCTAAATCCATTCCAGCAAGGTTCACATTTCCCGCTGACCCTGGTTGCTGAGACATGATCCCCTGATCGCCAACAGAGGGTGCTGTATGTCTGGGGTCCCCTCCAGGTAGTCCACCTCTGTAAAATTTGAATTAACAAGTTGTAAAATATAATTCTGATACCATAATGAATTGTGATTCAACACTGATTTTGTACATTTTAAATATATAGGGGCTTGTGCATGTATATTTTTTTTCATTTAACATCTACTCAGCAATCGTCTTATCAGATAGGTGTCAGTTTTTCTAGTTGCCGAGAGTAAAAATCCTTACTATATTTACATGATACTGCATTAAGTCACATTATACTATCATAGACTGATCAGCCCTAGAACTGTCTGTTTTAAGCCAAATATGGAAGGTAGGGGCTGTACTAACAGGTTAATGTATTGTAGAGCCCAACAAGAAAACAAGAGGGCCATGATGGCCCTGAGGTCGCTCACCTGTATATAGCCCCCCCGGCCCAATTTTTTTCCCAAGGGCTTTTATTTTTTTATTTGAACAGACTTGGTAGACACCCATAGGAAGTTGTTTCATGCAAAACATCTAAGTTCTAGCTCATTGGGTTTTTTAAAAGAAGATTTTTTAAGTTTTTACTATACACATATAGTTAAAAACAATGACACCCCTCGGGCAGGGCCAGTTTTGACCCCTGGGCTTTTATTTGAACAAACTTTGTAGATATTTACTTAAAGATGTTTCATGCTTAATATCTAAACTCTAGTTATTTGGGTTTTTTCAAAGAAGATTTTTAAGTTTTTGCTATGTATATAAGGAAAATCAATGACCCCCGGGGCGGGGCCAGTTTTGACCCCAGGGCTTTTATTTGAACAAACTTGGTAGACACCCATTAGAACATGTCTCATGCTAAATATCTAAACTCTAGCTATTTGGGTTCTTTAAAAGAAGATTTTATAAGTTTTTACTATATGCATATAAGGAATATCAATGACCCCCTGGGGCGGGGCTAATTTTGACCCCAGGGCTTTTATTTGAACAAACTTGGTAGACATTCACTAGAAGATGTTTCATGCCAAATATCTTAGCTCTAGCTCTTACAGTTCTTTAAAAGAAGATTTTTTAAGTTTTTACTTTATGCATATAGGGAAAATCAATGACCCCCTGGGGCGGGGCCAATTTGGACCCCAGGGCTTTTATTTGAACAAACTTGGTAGACATTCACCAGAAGATGTTTTCATGCCAAATATCTAAGCTCTAGCTCTTACAGTTCTTTAAAAGAAGATTTTTTAAGTTTTTACTATATGCATATAGGGAAAATCAATTACCCCCTGGGGCGGGGCCAATTTTGACCCCAGGGCTTTTATTTGAACAAACTTGGTAGACATTCACCAGAAGATGTTTCATGCCAAATATCTAAGCTCTAGCTCTTACAGTTCTTTAAAAGAAGATTTTTTAAGTTTTTACTTTATGCATATAGGAAAAATCAATGACCCCTGGGCGGGGCCAATTTTGACCCCAGGGCTTTTATTTGAACAAACTTGGTAGACATTCACTAGAAGATGTTTCATGCCAAATATCTAAGCTCTAGCTCTTACAGTTCTTTAAAAGAAGATTTTTTAAGTTTTTACTATATGCATATAGGGAAAATCAATGACCCCCTGGGGCGGGGCCAATTTTGACCCCAGGGCTTTTATTTGAACAAACTTGGTAGACACTCACTAGAAGATGTTTCATGCTAAATATCTTAGCTCTAGCTCTTACAGTTCTTTAAAAGAAGATTTTTTAAGTTTTTACTATATGCATATAGGGAAAATCAATTACCCCCTGGGGCGGGGCCAATTTTGACCCCAGGGCTTTTATTTGAACAAACTTGGTAGACATTCACCAGAAGATGTTTCATGCCAAATATCTAAGCTCTAGCTCTTACAGTTCTTTAAAAGAAGATTTTTTAAGTTTTTACTATATGCATATAGGGAAAATCAATGACCTCCTGGGGCGGGGCCAATTTTGACCCCAGGGCTTTTATTTGAACAAACTTGGTAGACATTTACTAGAAGATGTTTTTAAAGCAAAAGTTTGGAAGGGAGGGCGGGCCCGGGACGATACGACAAAAAAAAGCTACCCTGTCACTTTGGAAGTGAGCAAAAAATTTACCAGCATGCTAAATTTAAACAATCCCACTCTAAGTGTTTGACAAGTGATATCTTTTCTTATTTTAATACGTCTAATTTCCCATGCGACCACTTTTATTAACGACTTTTTTATTAAACACCATTTTAAATTCCCCCCCCGATTTTTCTCTAATCTTTAAATAGCGACTTTTGCTAAAACGCGCCCGGGGACCGCTAATTATCACCTTTTAAAAACAATCTTTTCTTTTAAACGCCCACTTTTCCTGTCAAGTAATTGTTTTTTAGAGAATTCCACCCTCGTAAAACAAGTGTCAACAATCAAACACAACAAAAAAAAGTGTAAAAAAAACTCTATTTCCCAAACCATTTTTACGTATGCAAATGAATTTAAAATTTATCCCCCACGGTATTATCCAATAATATCGGATAAACAAGCAACGCCCCGCCCCTATGAATGGGTTATACGCTTTCGCTTGTTGACATTTAGACTGCATTGAATTGCTTAATTGATCAGCAATTAAATTCACGTAACAATTAGTGTATTTTGTTTATTTCAAATAAAACTTGACAACAGAAAACATCTTCACTAATAGGTTTTCGTTTTGGGCGAAAAGGAAAAACAATGGAGAAGTTAAAAAACTCTAAAAAAAAAAAATTAAAAAACATGTACTAATTTTCATTAAATATCAGAAAGTTATTTTTTACTTTTTGATCCATTTAATTATCAGGGCGTAAATTATTAAAAATTTTATTAAAAATGAATTGAAAAAAAAATTCCCACTTCATAAAAAGATTCATTTATAAATTTTGACTTTTTTTATCATGCTGACTGTCTTAAGAGACCCTTTCATTACGCGACCGTTCGGGGGTTTCCCTTCGCAGTCGCTTTAATACACTTTACTGTATGAATAATTTAAAAAACTAAAAACAAAACAATGAAAACTTATCAATACAAACCCCTACAAACCAGCTTTTATTTAGGGATTATGAAAAACAGCTTGTAAATCTTGTGTACATGATTCTTTATCAGGGCCCCATTATTATGAGGGTTTTTTTTGGGCCTGGGCATTTAAACTTATATTTAAAAACATTTTTATCAAAGTTTATTGTTACTGTTTGTACAAGAAGGGTCTATTGTCAAAAAAACAAAACAGCTGCATTATATTTAAATCTAAATTCATACAATATACATTGTCAATAAAAATATAATAACTTTTTTCATACTTATTAATAATAAAAAATAAAAATTTACTTTCATTTTTTAAATTCAATATTTTAATTCTATACTTTTCATGAAACAAGAGGCCATGATGGCCCTGAAATCGCCCCACCCCGTTATAACCCCCCTAGCGGGGCCAGTTTTAAACCCCCAAGGCTTTTTTTTTTAAAAAAACTTGTAACATCAATTAGAAAATTTTCATGCTAAACATCTAAATCAGTGGGGCAAGGTTTTTTTTACACATATATTTTTTAAAAAAATAACACCTGGGGGAGGGCTAGTTTGGACCCCCAAGGCTTTTATTTGAACAATCTTTGTAGACACTTACTGAAAAGTTTTTGTTTAATATCTGACTCTAGCTATTTGGATTTTTTTGAAGAAATTTTTAAGATTTTTTCTTTACACATATAAGGAAAATCAATACCCCCGGGGGGGGGCCAATTTTACCCTAGGGTTTTATTTGAACAAAACTTTGTAACACTCACAGAAGATGTCCCCTGCTA